GCGTATAATATCGACGTGCCAGTGCAGAAAGTTGCCATTTCGTGCTCCGAGCTGAAATATGCCACATCGGTGCTCAGAATTTCTGCGTTCGAAGCTTCAATTTGAACGATTATCTTCATTCCAACGACAGATTCGGGAAGAGCATCCAATTTTACTTCTAAAACATGAAACATTAATATGGTAACTTCAAACGCGGAAAAAACCATCCTTCAGAACCGAGCGCCGAAGTGGTATCTTTCAGCTAGAACGCGAAATGGCTTCTTTCTGCCTGGAGCGCGACATGGAATCTTTCTGCTCTGCGAAGCGAAAAGCGGCATCTTTCAGCACTGGCAAGTCGATATAATACTAAGCTTACTCTTTTCACGCGGGTAAGATGTACAATGTAAAATTGTTTATTTAGCGCGTACCACATCAACTTTTTCAAACAAAGCTTCATTTCCCTACACCGCTATTATCGTGCGTAATTTTTTGACTTTTCTTCTGTCTTCTTTTTACGTGTAAAAGTACATGTTACGTAAACCTTATACGCATCGCCACGAATGTGTACACAGATACATACAATAAAATCAAAATTCTCAAGGTCTCCTCGCAGTTAAAGGCGCCGCGCTCGTCCTCGGGGCCGCGCTTAGTATACACACAGTATTAAGCTTCGAGCCTGCGTACATATACAGTATCCACGGTGTACGCGACATTAAAAGAGTTAGCTCGGAGCGGCAACATAGAGAGAGAGAGAGAGAGGAAGGGACCTTTATATGCGCTTCAAAGACACGCTCGGGCTCTCTCTCACACACACACACGAACACACGGCGTATATATACATAGTATAACGCGCAGCCGACGCGGAACGGACCAGGGGTTGGAGAGAGAGAAGTATAACAAGGGTTATAACAGCGGCAGCGACGGCGACAGCGGCATCGTGCAGAATTTTAAGAACGCCGAGCACGTACTCGAACCAATGCTGCGACATATCCTAGGCTATATATATGGAGCTAGTAAAACAAATACCTCCTTTTCGTAATACCGCGACTGCTGCTGCTGCTGCTGCTGCTGCTGCTGCTGCTGTATTACGTTATACGCGTATAAGAGAGATAATCTTCAGCTGCAGCGCGAGGACATTTTTGCGCTGTAAAAATTGATACGACCTTCTCTGCGGAGACACCCGCGCCGATTATATAGCCCCCGAGATCCCTGCAGATGCGGCCAGTGTTGTTGGTCCATACATATATACACGTTATTGCCCTTTATAATGAATAAAACTCGCGTGCTCCGGCGCAGAAACAATGGGGGCCCCCGTGCGATCCGAAATTTAAAACGACGCGCGCGAGCGACGACGCGATTTAAAGCGTGTGCCTCTTTTGATCGAGACACGAAAGAGAGAGAGAGAGAAATAGAAACAAAAAGCAAAGAAATCGTGTCCCCGAGTAAACAGACAGCAGTCAGTCGGTACGTAGAGAGACGGTATGACGGACGGCTGAAAGAAGTGGCCAATGTGGGCCGTGCGGGGCAGTGCCGCCGCGCGCACTGTTTCTCGCGACACGCCGCGGCACTCGATATTATGTGTTGTGTATATGTATATAAAATGCGCTCTGTGCCCTTTGTTTTTCGCTTTTCATCCCTCCCCCTCCTTCCTGATCGAGTACTCGGTAATTCGCTTCCTTTGTTGGGGGACCATTATATTCGAGGCGACATTCAATCGGTGTATAGCAGCAATTCGTGCATATAGAGAAAAAGTGACAGTCCTCGTCGTCGACCAAGCCTTTCTCTCGCGCGATCCCTAATTCTCCTCTCTTTCTCGTCTTACGTCGTGCTATACTTTTTTAATTCGAGGTTTTGAAAAGTCGACGGGCTAGAGCTCGAATAATCATCGCGTCGCTCGGTTGATCGCACTCGTGTACATACATCATATATATATCATCATCGGCAACTCGTGTTATAGCTGCAGTGCAGTGATCTAGTTTTGTACACGACTTCGGAGTAGTCTCCGATGTATATCTCTGCCTACCACTGCAGCCGTGTATACAACACTCGTACGTACACACACACGCCGATGGACCAGTTTTCACCTGATCTGGAGCAGCAGCGACGCGCCCCGCGCGAGAGAGTCGACGAGCCGCTTTGCTCTCTTTTTTTTCTATTCGCATACACACGTATCCCCGAAAAGTCGAGTATACACGGACAAAATGCGGATGGGGTCATTATTACGCGCGTATATATGTATGATATACCGGCTCGAGGCTCCGCAGACAGGATCCATATAAACACACGACGCGCTGCTGTACTCGCTCAGTTTCCGAAACGGGCCGCGAAATCTGTTTAAGCGCACGAGAGAGAGGATGAAAGGGAGAGAGAAAAAAAACCTGTCGTTGGGCCTGTGCGGCACGCGCGAGCCCAGAGACGAGATCGCGTCGAAAAACTGGTCCATCGTGTTTGCGTTGGATATAATATGATGATGAAAAAACGAGGTACTGGACAATGCGGCCGAGGGGGATGCTGTTGCTGCTGCTGACCACTGCGGAAAATCATCCTGATCACGATGATGACCGGTGTCCGGTTGCCGGATATACCTTTTTGACTCATCTCTCGCTCGCTGCGTACTTATACGGTAAACGAGTCTTTTTCTCGTTCTATCTTGGTCTCTCTCTCTCTCTATGTTTATATTGGGACGTATTCAACGAGGACTAATGATGCTGTTTTGATGCGCGGATGAATAATAATATCGCGCGCCCTGGAGATGAAACGGGGCGCGCGATTAATAAAACCGCATTATGCTATAGCGGTGCGATTCCAGTTCATTGTCGCGTGCGCGCGCGACTATATACAGTCGCGACACGATTATACCTGTTTTTGGCAGCCAAGTATTTTAATAGGATTAGGAATATTTTTACGCCTCGGTTGCGAGGGAGTTTGTCGCGCGCGCCCGCCCCGCGAGGGTGTGAGCCCGTAACGCGATAATTATGTCGTTTCTTCTTTCGTTGGAGAGGGTATAATGTTGATGCTTTGGATCTCTGGTAGAAACGCTCGATATTTTTATAGTTAGTTTGTTTTATAGTTATTTACTGTCAGTTTGTTTTCGACTTGAAATTGATTTTATGTTCGAAACTAAAATCATACGTCCAAAAAAATGTATCATTATGAGCTGTACAAAAAAAAACGATTTTCTCATCGACTTCAAGCTTTTTTATCATAATTCTTCTTTTTTTTACTCACTTTTTGAAAATTTTGTTTAGAATAGGGTAAAGGATAGTTGAACCAGTGAATAGTCACTTTGGAAAATATACCATAAAAACCAATTAAAACTACATTTGTATGGACGTTTTATGATTCTTTAGTGAACGATGCCTCTCGTTCAAGAAAAAATTATAATTATTGCATATCAAAAACTGGTAATTTATTGATCGAATGCGCTAAATTTGCTGCTGCCTACGAAAACGATTACTTTTCAAAAATCATGAAACGAATCAAATAACGTTTATTGGAGTATTGGCTACACAACAAATTTTCGAGTTATTGTTTTCTTATGCAACGGCAAATTACTGGTGCAATTACTCTAATTATTCGAAAAAGGCAGTTAGAAGCACTTGAAAAAAAATGAGTCAAACTTTGAAACTGATAGCTCTGAAAATGATTTAAGATTTCTAAGTAATCATCACTAAGAAAATCGGAAGGAAAACCGAGAAGGAAAGGTAGCACAAAAACAATAAATCCGTGCTATGACTTATAAAAATAGTTTTCCTTTCCCTCTTGCAGACTTACAGATAAAGGTACTCTCCATCTGGTAGTGGAGACTCGAAGTAGCAATATCGAATTTAACGTAATTGAAAACTTGATCTAAAATTTGGAAACAATTAAATTGTCATATTGAGGTCCTTTAACATGTGCTTGATTTTTGTGACCTAATTGTAATAGAAAAATCATTAAAAGCAAGCTATCTAATGCTACTATATTTTAAAACATTTCATATAGTAATTTTTCAGATGATTTTTTAGAGGAATAGATGTTGATCATCTCTACCAGGTATATAGAGGATTATCGTTTAACTTTAAATGCCTACGTCTATCTAATAATCGAATTTATCAAAATCATTTGATAATATCAACGAATTTTTACGACGAATTCAGAAAAATCAAAACTGCGCACGTTACACTGCTGCTTCTCGCGGCCAAATACTGTCACAAAATTGGCCCCGGGGATCACGAAAGAAAAGAGTTGCCTCTAAAGCTATTTAAAAATTATGATCTGTACGAGTGTATCACTAATGTTATAACTCACTTTCATATAGCTTGCACAAGGTTTCGATTGACTTATACAATTATTTTCACTTTGCCACTTGCAGAATTACGGATAAAAGTACTCTCCACCTAGTGGTGGAGACTTGAAGTGGTAATATCGCATTTAACGTAATTGATAAATGATCTAAAACAGATCAAAAAATGATCTAAAAATCTGTGGAAACAATTGAATTGTAATATTGAGGTTCTTTAAGATCTGCTTGATATTTATGATATAATTGTAGCAAAAAAATCATTAAAAAGAAACCAACTAATGCTGATGTATTTTAAAACATTTCATATAGTAATTTTTTATAGGAATTTTCAAAGTGATAGAGTTGATCATTTCTACCAGGTATATAGAGGATTATCGATCAACTTTAAATGTCTACGTCTATCTAATAATCTAATCTTATTTTCAGCTAGCTTAGTTACGGCGAAGTATCTTCTTCGTACTTCCACCATACGAATACAGAGGACGCGACCAACTCGACCGCTAGTCGAGACAAGTTGTTGGTAACGCAGATCTCAAAGCTTTTAACAGCAGCTGCACCATAATAGTCGGTCGATAAGTCAAATGTTCGCCATCCGTTTTTTCCTTCATCGACTGTTGAACAGAAGTTCAAACGTAAACGAATCGAAATGGGATTTTGGTTTATTCAAATAATTGAAAACGATAATTATTGATTCATGAAATTTTTATTATTAATTTTTTTTTTGTTCAACATCGTGGTTCTCAGTAGTAGTACATATTATTAATAGTACAATTTTTTTTTTTTTTTGCTGTTCGTTACAAAGCTCAACAACACACGACGAGCGCAAGTAAGTGGGGTTTTTTTTTGTTGCAGTCAGTAATGTACAATTTAGCTGAAGGAAGTACAGCGGAAGTGAGTCGTAGTACGTAAAAGATAGAGGTAAAAATTATATCGTTATTATCATTGCACAGCTCCGTTTTTTTTTGTTACTTTTTGATTTGTCTCAATTAATCGAATCAGAAGGGATTGGAGATTTTGCGTTGACATTAATACATATCACTTTAACGATCAGACTCGAAAAAGCTACGACGACACGACTTTTGCATAAAAAAGAAATATCCATTCGAGTTCGTTCGAGGCCGATGTTAAAACGCGTTAATTAATTAATCATAATTCATTAAATAAGTTGCTTTTTAAATAATAAAGCTCGTCGATGAGATCGCCGGATCCTCACCACCTGTTCCAGCCGTAGTAGCCGTGGGAGATGAGGGGCACACCATAGCCGTGGAGTCCACCGTGAAGACCGTATCCGTGCCTGTAACAATGAGTGATGAAACGATTTTGTTTAAAAGTCGGTCGAAAAAAATATTTCTCGTCGCGAATCGCGAGTTTTCCGAGGCGGCAAATTACTTTTGTCATTTCGTAATCGGATGGAATATGATAGATTCGCGATTGTATAATCGATGACGGCCGTCTATTATAGACAGTCTTGATAGTGGCGCGCGGCGTCGTATTACAATTTATAAACGCGACGACTAAGTCGTCTCACTTTCTTTTTTTTTTCCTACGGATGAAATGTCATATTAAACGCGTTGCAGGACTATTGCGACATCGATTTTATAACTATATTTTTTTCAGCGTCAACAATATAACAATTCTTCCGATTGTATAATACGAAAAAAAAATAATCGGTCGAGAAAAATAATAAACTCACGATAAGTAGCTGTGGCTGTAGACGACGGGACTATGGACATGATGTCCGACCACCCACGGGTTGTAGCCGAGCAGTCCTCTCTTCTCGATTTTCTTCTCCTCCGGTGCAGCGGCCAGGGGCTCCTCGGCTTCCAGCAGCTCCGGTGCTTCGGCCAGAGTCTCAGCGGGCTTCGACAGGGCTGAGCCGAAGGCAAGGCCCAAGAGAGCGAGGAAGATCTGCGATACCAAAAGTGTCAAATCAATCTCGATGCAAATACGTTAAAAAAATTATCGAACGTTGAAAGACGAACGAATACTACTCACCAAGAGCTTCATGATTGATTGAGTTGGTTTGTTTTTTCTCCGGGTGAAGCGAAAAAGACGTAATGCAGCGTTGCACTGATACACATCCAACGATCCGAGTGGACTTTTATACCGAGTTTTTCCATGCTAACTAGTTTATCCATTATGGTAAAATCCCCTGCCGATCAACGCGCTTCGCGCGGCCTAATGCGAACCTGATTTGCTGCCCCTCGAGTGAGTTAAGGCACGCACTTGCACACACACACACACACACACACACGTGTATGAGCGCGGGCACGTCATCTAACGCAGCGCACATATGACGCGGGCAATTATTGCGCGACACTTGGAAGGTCTTCCGACCACTCCTCCCCCGGCTTAAGCAAACTAGATTGCGAAATGTCACCACCGCTGCTGCTGCTGCTGCTGCTGCTAATTGCCAAAGATTGGCAAGTGCGAGATGAGCTCTCCACGTATAGTAGTAAGAATTACGTGGAGATCAAGAGGGTAATAAAAAAAATGAGTTGGACTACTTGAGCATCGATAATTGTCATTAGTTTATAGCTTTTTATTTATTTTTTGTTAATAGAATAACCGAGTTTATGAAAAAGTGAAGAATAATCAAGTACAGTTCTCAAAGCGAGTCACTCGCCCAGTGATTGAAAGATTTAGAAAAATTCTGCTTTCAAGCAGCTCGGATGCATGTTTTTAGTCAATTTCAGGTAATCGAACCAATAGTTTGTCAAAGTTCATACCTTCCTCTACCTATTAGAATTTTTACAGAATTTTCAATTGAGTTTTTCATTTATAAAAGTTCATGAAAATGAAAAAAAAAACGTGCTTTACTAGTGAATGAAACATTCGATCCAGTAAATGAAAGTGCAAATATAAGCATACATTGATTTGATACTTATTATAGACTGTAATATATCATCTTTTTTATTAAGAAACTAAAACATAAATTTATCATCCAAACCAACTTCTTTATTGCCATATTGCAATGATTAAAATAAGGGCACCTGTGTTAAATGACATAATTAAAGTATTTCAAGGTCATGTTATGATAATTCATGTTGTTAGACAAGTTTTTGTGATTTTTCAGGGATCTTTTTTAAAAATCTGTTTCATTCGAGTAGAGAAGAACCATTTTACAAACATTTTAAGACCTCATAGATAAAAATTGGTTCAAAACTCCAATCGAAATAATAAACGTTTCACGAGCAAAAAGTCTAACGAGAGGAGCGATCGTCAACTTTATTTACGGGCCTGCGCGCGGTAAGAATTACTTTTCTTTAACGAATTACGCGTGGCGATCGATATAAGCGGCGACGGAACCGGGGCCTGTTATTGTATACACAATTTTATCCAATCGGCTCTCGGCGAGTGAGACATATCGTAAAAATGCCGTTTCGATTTTGCATCGGATAACGACGAAAAATCACGTAGCTCGCTCGTGCAGACGATTGTAAATGTTTTAAAGCAATAGGAAAGAAAATACATAAAAATAAATAAACTTTGAAGGCCCGAAGTTGTACGGCCAACGGGTGTAAAAATCTAGTTTGAGTATAAGTTCCAGTTCGGCAGAAATACTCGAGATTAATAATGGTCAAATAACCAAAAATGACCAATTAAAATATTTTCAAATATACCATTAATTAGCTCGTTAAATGACCTTACATTATTTTTATATTTCTTAAAATTTAGATGTGTTTTCAATTTATTGAGAACAATAGGATATTGTCATTTTAAGCCTTAGCCACTAGATGGCGAGTACCTATAAATCTGTAAATCTACAAGTGTCAAAGTAAAGGTAATCATATAAGTCAAAGCAGTTTTTTGAAGAATATTGCCTTTTCTTTCTTCTGCCGGTCAAAGACGTATTTCTTCGCTTTCTCAGAGATACATAATTTTCTCTCTTTTTCTCCAACATAAGAAAAGCCCAAGTAGGAAGTGGACGACGGATTTTTACGTATCGCATATCTCGCGTCTTTGCTACACGAAACATTGCGCAATCTATCGGCGGGCCGCGTCGATCGTGACCGCGGCAGTTTATACACCATATAGTCGCGCGCCGCATCATCGATCGCGCTCATATACCGTGGCAGTTCTTCATTTTTCTATAAATGTTTGCGCGAACTTTTACGTGCATTTACGGCGATACCGCATTGTCGCACGTACATCTTATTAGAGAGAGAGAGACATCGGCTAAATTGCCAAAGTCAATGCGATTTCAATTATTACACGCCCCTGAAGAGCAGTTCTCTCGGCGGATCGCTCGCCGTGACGTACGTTTTACATGCTCGCTCGCGCGGATTGCAACAACAACGGCCGAAGAGAGCGAGCGCGCAATTAGATGCACGTGTTTGTAAGAAAATGAGAGTGATCTCGTTTTTCTCTTCGCGCGAGCGAGAGTCGATTAATTTTGCTTTATATCGAAGACATCATTACTCATGGCCATCGCAAAGTGTCGAATTCAATGTTGCATTCGCACGTATAATATAAACTGTACCAAGTACTGCACTTTATAATGTTTATACATCGTTAGAGGCACGTTTAAACGATATACGTTACAAAATTCTCGCTTGAGAATTCCAGTAGCGTCGCGCGCGATATGTAATTCGAATCTAATTCGGGAATCGACGAGAGTTGCATAATGATGAACCATTACCGAGCGCTCATTCGAAACAACAAAAACTACGAAGACAACAAAAAAAAAGAACGAACGAATTAAAATCGTCGAGGCGATCGCGAGCGAGCGACGTATACGTGTTTGTCAACCACCGATAACGCAATCAAAAGTATCGAAAGAACCAAAAAAAAGCACGAACCTTAAATCGTCGAACGTGTATGCAAGGATGCTGTTTTTTTACCGTTAGCCGTGCGAGCTATTTATATACACGTATCGCGACAAATAGTCGAGCCCACGACATATCCTTTTGCAGGCTTTACGGGTGTAAATTTTTTTCTTCTCTCTATAAACCCGCGTTGTTGGCTTTCTCTAGCGGTAGCGACTGCTCGAGGCGTATGCAACGCGCGGATAATATTCGCTATTATTTAATTCCATGTTCCCGCCCGACGATCGAGAAAATCCAAAGAAAAACGAAAATGAAGAAAAAAGGAAAGGACGACGCTTCGATCGCGAATTCAAGGAAAATCAATTGTGACACGAGCCAACAACGCGTTGTATACGTATTACATCCGACTCTCGAGCGTTCGACGGCATCGGAGGATACATAATAAATCGTCGAGCTTCGCGCTTCATTAAATTTTTCCTCCGATCGTGTGCGCGAGGATACAACGTTCACCCGCGCCATTGACTACCTTTTATTTAATTTTTTTTGTCGTCGTCTCTCTTCGCCTCGTGTATACACACAACGATAATGTACGATCATTGCGATCTTTATTATCTCTCTCTCTCTCTCTCTCTCTCTCTCCCCTTTTAATCATAAGGCTGCATTTGCGACAAGCGATGCGCGTCGTTCGTTGTCTTACATTTTTTTCCATCGTTCTCTCTCGACGTCCGCAAACGTAATGCTTTGAAGTTTTCCTATCGGGTAAAAAGATGCTCTTTTATATACTTTTCTTTGTCAAACATTCGAGTACTGCAGGGGGGGACTTACGACACTGTATATATTTTACAACACAATTTAGCGAAAAAAAAAATAGGCGCTCGCCTGTGTTTACGAGTCGAAACTCGCGCGCTCGCGCTCGTTATATTATATCGCTGTTGTTTTTTGCATGCCAACAATGCACCGAGATATGCTTAAACTGGAGCGGCTAATAAACGATCGACGTGCGCTTTATTTTACGCACGATTCGATCATTTTCATACGTGTAATACTGATATATACACGCATTCGATTCAGCCGCGAGTGTGTCGCAATCACTGCTGCGGCTGTTGCTGCCGTTTAAACGAGCAAATACGTGTATTACTACGTGCGTAATGACGCTTAACTCGAAGCCACTTAATTCCGCTTGCAGAGAGCTCTTTATATATTCGAGAAAAGTGCCCCGAGGAGCGTTTCTCACCTGAGTAATAAAGAAGATCTATAAAAAATTATAGAGAGAAATTGTCTTATTCGTGGCGCACTTTTTAATTATGATAATGATCAAAGAGAATGTCGCGGAGAGTCGAATTTTTGCACCAAAGTGCATTACGCGCGTTTACAGCTCCGCTGTGTCGGTATTTTTTTTTTTTTTTTACCTATGGAGCGGTGCGCATGAGTCTATATAGGCGTTGCAGCAGTGCGCTTGACTCGTGCCTCTATATAATCAACAGGTGGGACCCTATCGTCGGAATATATGTATATGAGCGATTTAAAAAAAGAAGTAAATTAATTTTCAAATAAAAAATCTTGAAATTTCGGTCAGTATACGCGTGTAATCGAACGTTGATTATTCTTCATTGAGACCTCAGACATGAAAAAATTTCTGAAGAGCGGAAATTTTACAATGTATTTTCTTATGATATTAAATTATTTTTGGCTTCAAAACATCGAATTACAAAAGTTCAAAAAATTGCCATGTATAATTTGTGGAAAATGTTGAACCAATGATGCACAAATTCAATTATTTTTCACTCGACAATCATCACTTTGCATAAAATATATAATTATAGACGTCCGAAAAATTCGTGTTTATTTATCGAATGGCACAGATCTACGAGCATTCTGTTGTTTACATCGTGCGTGGCATGCATGACCTCCTCTTGTGTTTCTCGGAATGGTGCTCATTTGCCGTGCGTGCCATTAAGCGCCAGACTTACACACGTAAAAGGCTACTCGCGGAGCAGACGCAGTTTTCCAAAATTTTGCGAATAAAACACGCAAATATTTGCCAGTTTTTCAATTTAGTTAGTTTGTCGTGTGAAATAACCACAGAGAGGTTGATTGTTAGCAAAACTCCAAGTGAGATAAATGGAGTCCAGTGATTTAATTAATTGTGCTGTCAGGTAATTTTATGAGAATCAAATGATAATAATATCATAAAAAAATACCTAACCTCATCCGACTTATTTCAGAGTGAAAGAGGAGCCTAGTGATGTGCCGATTAGTGAAAATGATAGTGAAATGATTGACGAGAAACCCGATCTTAAGAACATCCAACTCTTACCACATCCGCCAGAAAATTCAGTAAGTGTTGATAATTATATTTACGTAAGTTGTAATTGTGTGTAACTCGTACATTTACATTTTCGACAGATCCCTACCGTTCGGAAATGTGAAGGAAATCATGATATTGTATGTGATGATAAATTGAAAATAGTTTTTGAATGCCAAGACGTCAAGCCCAACATTAATTTATCAGCAGATCAGAAAATTGAAGATGATTCGCGAGATATCGAATATAGTGATGGTTGTAAAACTCAAAACAAAATTAATATAGATCCTGCAGTAGTAGTAAAACAAGAAATTGTGGGTGATGCTGCAGAAGGATCGAATTTGAATTTCAACCCTATAATTGTCGAACAAAATGAAAAAAGAAGAATTACAAAAAAACTTAACGAAGAACATGATCTCAAAAAATACATGGGTGCGATGCATAGCAAAACAACCCAAGCATGTGAAATATGTGCAAAGAAATATTCAAATAAGTATAATCTTAAAATCCACATCGATTCGATGCATAATAGTGTCACACATACATGTGATATATGTGGCAAGAAATTTTCACAAAAAAGTTATGTCAAAATTCATATCGATATGGTGCACAATGGTGTTAGACATGCATGTGATATTTGCGGGAAGAAAAGCTTAACTAAAAGTAATCACAAAAACCACATCGATTCAGTACACAATAGAGTCACTCATGCATGTGATATATGCCAAAAGGCATTCTCAGACAAAAGTAATCTCAAGAAGCACATCGACTCGCTACATAATGGTATCACTTACGCGTGTGATACATGCGGAAAGTCATCCTCAAATAAAAGCAATCTCAAGATGCACATCATGACGGTGCACAATAATGTTATATATGAATGTGATATTTGCGGCAATAAATTTACAGCCAAATATAGTCTCAAAATGCACATAGATTTGGTGCACAATGGTGTCACACATGCATGCAAAACGTGTGGAAAGAAATTCTCAAACAAAATTCACCTTAAAAGGCACATAGATTCGGAGCATCATAAAATCACGCAACCATGTTATATATGCGGAAAGTCATTTACCCAAAAAAGTTCTCTCAAAAAACACATGGATTCAGTGCATAATGGTGTCACATATGCATGTGATATTTGCGGAAAGAAAAGCTCAACTAAGAGTAATCTGAAAAAACATATCGATTCGGTGCATAATGGTGTTAGACATGCATGTAATATATGTCAAAAGACATTCTCAGACAAAAGTAGTATTAAAAGACACATCGACACGATGCATATTGGTATCTATCATACATGCGATATATGCAAAAAGAAATTTTCAACTAAGACAGATCTTCAGATCCATATCGGTGGAATGCATCATGGTACCACACCTGCACCCAGTACAAGCAGAAAAACTCCTTAACGAAGCAACGTCTTGAAGCCCATATCAATCCAGCAAATCACTGACACATTAAAATTTGATGCACGTTTAAAATGTAATATACATGTTTAGAAGACAAATACAAATTTTTCATTCATAATGATATCACGTAATTCTCCAATATTATCTTATAATAAAAACTTAATAAATTTTTGCAATATGAAGTGAATCAGTGAATCATATCATAAATATTAAAGATATAATAAAATTTTGAGCCCCTTAGGTTAATATATTAATTTTCACGTTTAATTTTTACTTTTCAGAACTTAATCGCTTAAATTATAAAACTTAAAAAAAATCAGAAAAAATTTTAAACACAGAATAAATAGTATATATTCACCAAAAAAACACGATTTTTCATTTCCTGTAACACAAAAATTGCTGTAGACAAAATATTCATCAAAACTCATTCAATACCTAATCTAGCCTCGAATCTCAAAGATTTATCATAGAGTCGCTCGTATACATCGTGACAGGAGAAACTTTTAACTCTTTTTTTAACGGTTCTTTCCGATATTATGCAAAATGCTCGCGGGCACGCGCGCGATACGCCTCCTCCCACGCGGCTTGGCCTGGGGGGCCCCGCGATCAGCGACACCCTTCCTTCTCTTTTCTGTTGTCTATATAAATTTTTTTTTCGTCTCTTTCTCTTTCTTTTCATTTTCCTATGGGCTCTGTGTGCAAGCGAGCGAGCGAGCACAAGTTGACCGCAACAAACGAGCCATTATTTTTCATGCCGTTTGACTGTCGAGCGGAGCTCGTGGATATCGGGGCCAGTTGAGCCGCGGAACTTCGGCCAAACTGATGTTTCGCTAATAGACATCCGCAGTTTGATAGATATATGTATAATATTGCGACTCGACAGAGGTAGTTTCAAGTGGTTTACAAGTTAATTGTATTATACAGTCACGAGCAGTTGACGAGTGAACTCGTTTGTATTATTTAGTGAATATAAGCGATAAACGTGAATTTTTGTGCCTTAAATAAGTATGGACGAATCGTAAAATGATCGCCGAGCAATCGCGTAGAGAAAAAGAAACCGATTGACAGTAAAATCACCAAAAAAAAAAAAAAAAACAATGAGATTCGCTCTACTGCTGTGCCTCAGTCGCTTGGTTCTGTCGATCCACGGACAAAATGCCGCCGACGCCGACGTCGACTCGTCCTCGTCGTCGATCAGCCTCGAGTTCGACGGCATGAGCGACGAGGAGAGCCAGCGACACAAACGGGCCCTCGGCATACTGTTGCAGGGCTTCATGGAGGCGCTGGGCTATCAGGTGTCGCCGATCCAGATAGCCACTCTGCCGGCGGCGGCTCAGAATCCCGTGGCAGCCGCTGCGGCCCCGCCGATGATGCAGCTCATGCCCAACGGCTCTGCACCGACGCCGAGGCAGCGCGAGACTCTGCGCTTCACCGGCGTCTTCAATTTCGGCAACAACGTCAACGCCACGAATCTCGTGGACCATCTGGCGCAGTACGAGCGAATTTTTCACGGTAACAACAACACTACGACGGCACCAGCGGCATCGAGCGGTAATAATAATAAAAAGAGCAAAAAGAAGAGCAAGAAGCCGAAGAAGCCACCGATACCCGATCCGCTGTTCGTGAAGATACCGCTGCCGATCGCGCCCGATCTGCCGGCGGCCCAGCCGATGCCCGACGATCACGAGTTCTACGATCAGCGCGACAGCCACGAGCAGCACCTGGACGAGTTCCACGAGAGCGACGACGAGGCAGGCAAGCACGGCCACTACCAGGAGGAGCACGACGACTCGCGCCACAGCGAGGAGTACCAGAAGAATCACGACGAGCACTACGAGGATTACGAGCCGTACAATCGTAATTATCCCGGCAAAAAGGCCAAAGAGGAGGAGGAGGTGGAGGAGAACGATAATAGCAGTAGGCCCAAGGAGAAGCTCACCGAGTACAAGAACAATCGCAACGTCGTGAATTACCGGGTGGAGAACAAGGAGCTGCATCATCCGGACGAGGTGGCCGAGGAGGTGCCGTCGCTGCCGATGTCGCCGCCCCTGACCACCCTCGAGGACGTGGACGGGCCCGCGTCGGACTGGCGCGAGGCGGACGAGAAACGCGCCCTGGAGGTGGCCGCCGAGCAGGAGGCCCTGGCCGAGGCGTTGGCGGAAAAAAACGCCGAGCGAGAGTCCGAGGCGAGGACGCGCCAGAGGGAGCGCGACGACGAGGGAGAGGCGAATTACGAGGCGGCGGATAAGTTGCTGTGCGACGAGAATTGCGAGGACTACGGGAAGAGCGAGGAGGATGTCGAGGAAGCGGCCGACGACAACGCGAACAAGGAGAACAATCAACGCAGCTATCAGGCTCGGCCGGTGGTGGCCAAAGGTAACGAGGCGAAGCTTCGAGACAGCTACGGCAAGTCGCTGCAGGACGCCGAGGGCGGGCCGATCGACGAGCGACTGTCCGGCTACTTCAGCATGTTCAAGGACCCGGACAGCGGCTTGTACGATCCCGACCGGATCAAGGAGTACGAGTCGGCCAGGTTGCCGTTCTACGATTACAGCGAGTTCTTGGACGGTTTCAACAAGATACAGAGGCAGATGAGCGGCAACAAGTACGAGGAGTACGACATCGACAAATCGTTGGCGGGTGATCTGCGAGCCGAGCACAGGTCGAGGGAGGAGGAGGAGGTGGCAGACAACAGAGACGCCACGAGTCGATCGGCCAACGAGTGCAAGTGCGATAAGAGCGGCGAGGAGCGACAAGGTTCGACGACCCGATCGTTCGGCCCGGCAGCGCAGAAGTCAGCAGGTCCTGCACTGCCGTCGACGACCTTCAGCCCGTACTTCTTCGCTTCCTACGATCCCTATGAGACCAAAGAGGAGATAATCGCGAGACTGACGTCGTACGAGCCGATAACGAGGCCCGCCACCGCTGCGTTATTTTCCGCGGACGATGCTGCCCGTACTTCGCTGCCGTCGCCGCCGCCGATCGGTTTCGCCGCGGAGCGACTGCTGCACGACGCCGCCGAGATCAAGGAGATCGAGTCGTGGCCCGAGGCCAGGCCTTCGCCGTCCACCGAGACGTTGAATTTGTTCAGACCCGCGCAGCAGGGCCTGACGACGGCTTCGACGAGGAAGAAGCAGCAGCAGAACGTGGAGATCGTGGACGAGAATAATCGTACGCCGTGGGTGCCGCTGGTGCCGATCGACGCCAAGAGAAGATCGTCGTTTAGCGAGCAGCAGCAGCGATCGCAGTCGAAACTCGCTGCTAAAGCGACGTAAGTATATATAAGACCGAGATAAATGAGCCATTTTCTGTTTTACACTAGAGTTAATTCAATTCTTATAGAAATATTTTGACTTAACCACTAGCAGATTTAAAAATGGAGGTACTCGCCATCTAGCGGTGGAGTATGTCTTTAATTGTGATTGAATTATGACACGTTTTTCGGCACAAGTATAGAGCAAAAACGAAATCAGTACGAAAATAGTAACTTTCGAGCAAAATGTTTAGATTTGAGTGTAAAATTGAATCGCTTCTGTTCATTTTTGCATAAAAAATAATGCATGTCGTTTCATTTTCATGCATTTTTTATGCTCTTTATGTAAACAAATTTAATCGAGGCTCATACACTAGTTTTCGACGATGATTTCATATAAAATCCAATATCGGTAGTACTTTAATTTTAATGGCTGATTTACATCAAATGTTCGTTAAATGTAAGGTTTTTTTTCTGTAATGTACACGTCAATCAGAATAATATCGTTTATCGAAATCCTTGCATTTGTAATGCTACAGGCATTCGATAATGATTTCTGATGCAAGTGTTCTAACTGTTATGGCATCGTTCATTATCCCATATAAAGAGTATAAAATCCGACTAACGAATCTACGTCACGCGCGCGAGCATATATATCGCTCATAATTGCATTGATCGAAACGACCATAAAATTTAAACAAATGATAAACGTTAGAATTTCGATGGGATTACGCTTCTGATTACACCGATTTTTGGTCATCAAACGATCATAAACGTGTCAAAGCCTGACAGTTTTCAAATGCTCGAGTAAAGTTGAAGAAGCGTTTATTCGAAATTTAATCAACGATGAACAGATGGTCAATGCCATTGACTCACGATCGCATTCTTAGAAAAAAAGAAAGTAAAGTAAACAACGCACGCATGAGATACCCCGCGTTGCGCATAATACCCCGCGCGAGCTGCAGCCAAGGTATAATATTATTCATCGCACCTAAGAAGCGACTCGATCGACTCGATTGCTCAATAATAAAAAAAAAAATTTGTTTCGCAGGCTGAATTCCTACGAAGCGACGACAACAACAACGACTTCGACGACGACTACGACAACAACGAGCAGACCAACGAATCATCGCTCGTCGTACGATGACAGCGGCGGCGGCGGCGGGACGACCAAGAGGCCCAGCAGCTCCTCGTTCCTGGGGGCCTCGTTGCGCAATTTCTTGCCGTCGACTCGTCGCTATCACTATCAGTCGCGATCGCCACGACCCACCAAGACCATGAAGAGGAAGAAGAAGAAGTACGACTTTTACACGACGAAGCCGGCGACGACGAGATTCGCCGGGTCGGCCTCGGCCGTCGTGCCGACGACGATCGCCGACAAGCCGACCTCGAATTACGTCGACGGTCGAGGCGACGGCGTCGTACCGCTGATAGCCGAGCCAACGCCATATTATTACGACGATCAAAGAGTCGGCCCGTTCGCGGAAGAGCTACTGTCGCAAAACACCAACCCGGAAAGAGGAGTGAACGTCAAAGAGTACAGAAACCACGTCGAGTCCGTGAAAGTCAGGGAGCAGCGACTGCGCCCGGAGGGCACGACGCAGCGGATATTCAAGTACACGAGGCGACTTTGAAGCTTCTTCCATGATTCGTTCGATACCATTATTTTTTGTTTATGTTTTGTTTTTAAGTACGATTAAATTGAGACTAGAATAATTTTCAGTTCAATTATATTGAAAAAGAAAGTATTGAAAATTCTCATGAAAATATATCAGTGAATACATAAAAACCATTAGCGGTCACCGCCCACTTTTTGTTACGATGTAATACGTGTAGTAATTAAATAAAAGCTCCATCACTGAATCATGCTTCGGAGATAAAATCCTTAAACAAACACAATTTCTGCATACGATAAAGCTCATTTATGAAATTAAATTTACTATCTTTTAATGTATAATAATCAATGTAATATACGATGTAATCAATGCGCGAGAGAAAATGTTTAATGTAAAATATATTTTAATTTATTTTGTTTTTATACAAAACCATCTTTTGGTCGAACTGTAAATTATAATTTAATACATTATGTGAAATTTATCACGAAACTTAAATATAAATATTATAAATGCATTAGACTCTATTTTAGTTGGTAAAGTAGAGTTTTGTGTAATTTAACTCTCCACGTTTGATACAAGGGCTCTCATGACAACAGTTGTCTACACCAAATTTTCTCCTGACATTATTATTATCAAAAAATAATGCAATTATTAATACAATTTTCTATGAATGAGAAGCTTTCAATTAAATTTTTAATCAATTTTTAAACTGTACTAACGTGATATGTTCAAGAAATAAAGAAATATTATAAATTAAATATGAAATATTGCGCATGTATATTGAAGATCTCTAATGACAATAAATAGCAATAATAATAAACGTTACCGATGAGCCGAACGAGAGGCTTTCAATTAGATTTAAATAAATTTGAATTGTATTAACGTGATATGTTAATAAAAAAATTAAAAAAAAATTATTTCACTCAATTACTCGCTAAAGAAATGTACACAAAAAATACATTTTCATTCTTATTTAAATACACAAACTCTTTACCATCCGTCCGATTGATCGAAGGTACGACAATATCGACGGGGGATTTATTCGTAACAATAATTTTCTTACTGCGTCAACCACCACTCACACCCTCTAAGATGCATTGAATTATCACGATAAATCCCATCCACAGGTAATTCCCATGCATCCTCGCTCTTGTTGCTCCTCTTGGTGACGTGCTCGTAAGGCGCCGTCGACTTTTTGAACCTCTTGTCGCGATGCTGTATGAATTCCACCGGAGTACAGGAGGTCAGCTCGTAAGCGGGCGGAATCGGCCTTATGCAATTGTTGAACGATCGACGATCGTCTCGTTGTTGTTGTTGTTGTTGTGGCGCGTAGTCGCTTTTGAACCAGGGTCTCGACTGCGTGTAAGCCGCGAGGAACGCCGACTGCAGGTCCCCTCGGCTGCACAGCTGGTCCTCTGGCAGTCTCTTCTGCTTTTTCGGCTCGAGCAGGGCCGACTCGACCGACGACGCGGACATGTTTCTTTTTCTCGGCTGCTGCTGCTCGTCGATCAGCATGGGCACGACGTCGATCCTCGTGGGAACGTCGAGACAAGTACTCGCGAACATGATGCGAAACTTCTGCGAGGATCGATTGTATTTAGTTGATGCGTACCAGAGATGTATTAATTAAATTTAAAGAAAAAAATTACCTTGTTTAGCTTTGAACTGTAGAATCAAAATTTACGAGTGTACCGTCGCATAGAGCCGTGAACGATCGAATGCTCCGAGTTTACATAATACGACGTTGAGTTTGCCGAAATTGATATTGGGAAGCTCACGCGTTGAATCAAAACAAACCAAGATCTAAGAAAACGTTATCGATCGAGACACCGGTGTACAGAAGTTAATTTCATTGTTGTCGTCCGTAATAGATATTTTCAAGATCAATAATAGTAAATATAATATGGAAAAATAATATTTTTGGTTTTATTAATATATATTTATAATAATATCATTATTTACAATAGAATATATAATAATATATATCAATTTTTAACAAACAACGTAATTGAGTACATTCAAAAGTTTCATTCACCCTTCAGTTTTTTTACCGTGAATCACAAATATAACCTGCAGAGTAGTAAACTAGCTCGCGGTATTCCTTGACTAAATCATTCAGTCTCTTTACTTCTCTCTTCGACTCGAAGTACTTATTTTTCCAAAAATCATTGAGGATCGTCAGATTGACTAAATCTGGACTTTTGTTCGAGCAATTGGATTGCTTCCGATCATCTTTATAATCAATCGTTTGATGATAAATTTCGTCGAAACTAGCCTCGACATCGAGTCCGGCCTCTTCCGCACTCCGCTTTTTAGACAAAATTTTTGGCTCGTCGCTGAGTTTCATGCATCCTCGTTGAATTTCCTCGTCCGAACTATCGGCCGAATTCATACGAGATGACGAACATCTTATGGATACGTTGTCGGTTATCAACGACTCGTTCGACGGACGCCAAGATACGGTTGCTTTTGTGGGAGCGGTGGCAACATTCGATGCCGATGCAGCAGCAGCGGATTTTGTCAAATCAATCGGCGATTGGTGGAACAAACTCGTCGCCGTGTCGAGCATAGACGCATCCGAATGTTGAAACTTGGCCTTCTTGAGCAATAATTGCAGCTCGTTGCAATCGCAGACGTCGTTCGAGGGTCGTCGCTTCACCGACTCCACCGACGAAGCTTGAAGTTTCCGAAGATTTTCAAGAATTTTGTCTAAACTCGGGCCTCCGCGCGACGATGATTGTCTCTCTACGGATTGCATGATGCTGCTGTCTTGAAAGAGGCAAGTATTTTCTCAAAAATAAAGTGCTTGGCACTGCACACAGCCTGTGATTCAAGAAGAAATGACGATTCTTTTGAATGCACTCAAAAATAACTTAAAACGATTTTGGCTTTTTACACATTGACCGAACAAACGTGTACTTTTTTCTTATCTTCTCACACGTTGACTTTTTTTTTATTCAGTTCTTTTTCGCCCTTTTCTCTTAATCCTATTTTCTTTTACACTTCATGAGTTGCGACTTTGAGCGCGGCCCAATCGTTAGTACTTCGTTTACGTATTTTTGCTTCGAAATAGTACACTTTGTTTAATATCTTGGAATAACAAGTTATACTCGATTTCTGAAATTTGAAAAACTTTTGTAATTTATGATTTATTTTGGTAATTCTTGAATCATTTTTTTAACTACTATATAAATATAAATAAGATTGGCCTAAAAATTTAAATCGGCATAAAATTTCGTGCAACCGTCGGTATAGAAGATTTCTTGAACGTAACTACCAGCAAAACTCGTTAGATGGCTCTGGTTGTACATGTTTACATTTTATCGCACCTGTGGCAGTATAGCTCTTAATCTAACACATACAAAGTATGTAACCTTCTGAAAAGTTTTGATTATTTCGAATTCAATCAGAGAAAGTAATTATTCGCCCAGTGGAGAAAGTGTTACAGGTTTTTTCGAATTTTCACAGTAATCCGTGAGTCAACACAGCTACGAGTGACATAAACATGGAAAATCATAAAGAGTTCGTTGATTTAATTACCAAACTCGGAGTTGGTACGAGGCCGGTCAATGATCCGTTTTTTAACGAGACGCACGATAAGTGCAAAGTTTTTGCGAGAAAAGGAGTCGTGGCCGAGGACAACGAAGAATTTTTGCACAAAGTGTAATTTATCCTTTTGTTAAACTATACAATTAAACCTAACCTATTCACTGAATTATTGCTCTTTTATTATTTACAGCGTGAGAACGTTCCCTTGCAATGTGTGTTCGAAGGAGTTTAAAAATCTATTGGATTTCGAGTTACATTATAGCGAGCTTCATCACTACAAGTGTAGCACGTGCAACAAAAGCAGACCATCGAGTCATCTACTGGACTTGCATATTCAAGAAAATCACGACAGTTTCTTTCAAGTTCAAGCTGAAAAAAAACCAATGGTATGTACCTATTCGTATGAATTACACTTAGAAATTAATTCGTTATTTCTTCAATACTAGATTTATAAAAACATATTAATAATTTTCTATTACCGTTTATATTTATTTTTTCAGTATAGATGTTACTTATCCGAATGCAAAGATGTATTTTTCACTCCTGCCCTGCGCAAAGATCATTGCAGAAACGATCATCAATTTCCCGCCACATACAGATTCGAAGAATTCGATCACAAGGAGAAAAAACCGGATGCCGATAAAGCGGCGAAGAAAAAGGATAAGTCCGACTCGAAGCATCAAAGCAAGAAAAGCGAGGGTCATAGTCATAAGCCGGGACCAATCGTAACGAACAAATCTCGCACTTTTTCGAATAGAAATTTTTCGGTGCAACCTATAGGTCAACCCGACGATAGTTCACCGATCAAGAATGAAGAACCCAAGAAACCGTTCACGGGATTCATTCCGAGATCCGTGCAGCAAAATATGTACGCTAAGAAGTTAACGAACAATAAAGAAGGAACGAAAGATGTTTTGGAGTCGGAGAGTCTCATGGATTTGGCTGAAACCTTACCCAGTATTCAAGGTATTTATAACAAATGATAAAATATGTATTAAAAAAAATTATTTATTATGAAATTGGAAGCGAATAGAAGATATTTTTGGTGGGTTCAAATATAGAATTAGGCAAGAGATATATATTTTAAGCGTATGACTGTATTTTATTATTTTATTACAAAAATTTCGTTTTTTACTTACTTTATAACAATCGATGCTTATTAATTATACTATTTACATGAATATGAGTTTCCTACCGCCGGATTGATTTTCTAAATATTGTTATGAGCTAACGGCTGCAATTATAATAGAAAAATTGCAACATTTAAAAAAATAAATCTCCAAAATTACAGCGATGAAACATTTAAAAAACTCGAAACTATCCCGTTAAATTAACATTTGCGACAATATGTAACTATGAAAACACACCATATAAAAAATACAACCAAATTTACAATATTACAGCGATGAAAAATTTTAAAAACTCTAAATTATCACGTGAAATAAACATTTACGACAATATGTTACTATGAAAACACACCATTTATAAAATACAATCAAATTTACAATATTACAGCGATGAAAAGTTTTATTTAACGGGATAGTTTCGAGTTTTTTAAATTTTTAACATTTGCGACAATATGTTACTATGAAAACACACCATATAAAAAATACAATCAAATTTACAATATTACAGCGATGAAAAATTTAAAAAACTCGAAACTATCCCGTTAAATTAACATTTGCGACAATATGTAACTATGCAAACACACCATATAAAAAATAACGCTAAAAATAAAAATTTTGGTATTTTACGTAGAGAAATCGGAACTACAAAACCTATAGTACATTGTACTTTCGTTAAAATCACCAGACTTTTTGTTCTCTCTCTGTCTCTCTCTTTTTTAATACTACGGATATGTATTTGACGATATATCCGGGGCACATTTACAAAGTGTCTTTTAAACTATTACGATTAAAAAAAAAAACAACGAGCAATGAATCTATCACGCCATCGCATTCGTTGATTTTTAAAGTCTTGATATATCAGTGTTATATTTACAAAGTGTATTTTAAACTACTACCATTAAAAAAAAACGACGATATACCGTCTCCTATGCCACGGGCTCGATCGGCGGCGACAACAACGACGACGACTTGACGCGAACCGGACTCTCTCGTCGCTGCAGCCTGAGCAACTGTTGCGCCTGCTGCTGCACCGTCATCTGCATCTGGCCGAGGGCTTCCTCGAGAAACGCCACCCTGTTCATCAGTCGGACGTTCTGCAGCTTCATGAATTCCGCCCAGATGGCCAGCTCGTCCTCTCTCATCTTGCGGGCGTCTCGCGATTTTTTCGCCGCCTCGTTGTTCTTCTTCCTCTTCTCGAGATAGGTCGCGTCTCTCTCCTCGATCTTGCTCTCGTTGTTGCTCGTCACCTCCGCCGACTGACTGTTGTTGTTGTTGTTGTTGTTGTTGTGGTCACCCCCATTACCGCTGCTGCTACTGCTGCCCGATCGACTCATCTTCGAGTTGTCTCCCGTCCTCTTTATCTTCGCGAGGGACTTTTCGCGGAACTCCAAGAATTCCTGATGCGTGTGCTGGTCGAATAATAACGTCGAGTTCATCACCAGCGACATCGGGTCCTTGGCGATGGCTTTGAACGGTCGCACCTGCGGCGACGAGGCAGGGGCTACGTCTGCCGCCGCCGCTGCCGTCGAGGCCAACAACGGCTTAGTTATCGCCGCTGGTTTCGACGGGAACGAAAATCGAGGGAACGCAACCGATTCCGGACTCACCTGGTTCGCGTACAAGCTCTGCATCGGCGCGGTCGAGTACGGATGAAACGAGTGCCGATGGCTCCTCAACCTTTTCACCTCGTCTTCGACGCTTATCACCGACGGTCGAAACTTGGGCGTCGGCAGCGAGTCGAGGAAGCTGATCGGCGGCTGCCAGTGGGCCGGCGGCGGCGGCGGCGCGTAGTGATGTAGTGGCGGACTCAGACTACCAGGACTGCTGCCCGGACTGCAGCTCGAGGATCGACCGTACGGATGAGTACCGTAGCTCGACAAGGCCTGCATACTCGACGAGCCCGGCGGCAACCCGGCGACGTAGTTGGTGTAGGCCGACGACGCGGGCGGACTCGGCGGATGATAGTCTTGCGAGTGGTGGTGGTACCTGTGCGACAGGTCCACCGGATCGGGGGTGGCGTTCTTCGTCCACAGCGGAATGTGTATATTCGGAAAGAGAGTCAGGGCGCTGCTGTTGCAGCTGCTGCTGATCACCGGGACGTTGTTGCTCGAGCTCACGGCCATTACCGGGCTCTTCTTTGACGTTTCCATTCTGTAATGCACAAGATTATATTTATGATGTGGTCTAATTGGAACGTTTAATACTCGATTAAGGCACGTGGTTACGATTGACATTTTTACGACTAAGGAATCTAATCGGTATCATTTGTGTTTGACCGGCGAAGATGAACGAATATTTAACGCGTTTTATAAGAATTGATTTTGAAATTAATTTAAGGGCTAACAGGGGGCTTAATTATTTATCATTTTTCAATTACAGTACTAAGCTGTAAAAGTAAAAAAAATGTTTTTTTTCAATAACACAAATGATAACCTTTTCCAATAGCCTATTTGAAAGTATTTTGTCAAGTTAGATACATAGAAACAATTGCGTACAATAATAATGAAGTTATTGGTCCTCAACGCAAGCTATACGCATATCTAAGCTACCTGTCGTAGAAATCCAAGAACAAGCATTAATCGATGGTAACCTAAGTGGTTTCATTTTGTTCGATAGCCAATTGGCCATAATCGCAACCAAAAGCTAGCCATAAGATGAATTGTAGCTACTCTTGTGTACAATTTTCTAGAATTTAGTATTCATTTTTTATCATTTTCCATAAATTAATTTCACTTTGCTATATGTACAAGGAGCTACAATTCATCTTATGGCTAGCTTTTGGTTGCGACCATGGCCAATTGGCTATCGAACAAAATGAAACCACTTGGGCTACCATCGATTAATGCTTGCTTTTGGATTTCTACGACAGGTAGCTTAGATATGCGTAAAGCTTGCGTTGAGCACCAATACCCTCATTATTTACGTACTCAATTGTTTCTAAGTATCTAACTTGACAAAATACTTTCAAATGGGCTATTGAAAAGGGTTATCATTTGTGTTATTGAAAAAAAAAACATTTTTTTTCACTTTTATAGCCTAGTACTGTAATTGAAAAATGATAAATAATTAAGCCCCCTGTTAGCCCTTAACTACTTAATATGAAATATTATTGTGCGTGAAGACCGTGTAAAATGGTGTAGCAAGAGTAACTTGGTCAAAATCATAATACAAATAAACATTACCGCTCGCGCGTATGTTCTCGTTGAAAATTGGAAAAATTTCAAAAAATTGTCAAAAATAGTAAAAATACAAACCTTAGATTGTGTTACGATGAACTGTTTAATTGAAAATCCTAAAACGTTTCGAAGCTCGCGCGAACGAGTGCACTGAACTTGAATTTTCACTAAACAACTTTTGGGTTTCACCTCGTAAATTTACACGCACGTTCGAATGTACCTATACAACTAAAATGTATACAGCTCGTATTCACGACTTCACAGTTCGGTAACATCTGCATTGGGTCTGGCTCGAGTGGAGGCCGAGAGGGGACTGATGGATTTTCGTCTAGTCCGCATGTACTTAAAGTTTTGACCGAAAGTTTGGAAATTGTAGAGCAGTGGAGTAGGGGCAAACCGGGAGGCGTAACCAAAACAACACTAACACAGTGAAACAATTAGACGCGCGCAACGTGTATATAGCTGTAGCTTTCACTTGGTATTAGTGACATTGTATCTACATTGCCAGCGAATTATGAATGTTACAATGAAATTTTAATAGTGCCTCTGCGATGACATCATTGCATTTCAATCATGTTAAGACAATAGATAAGAAAACATCTGCCGAGAATGTATAATAATAAAGCTAGGCTTGAAAGATAGCGCTTATGACTAATTGAATCAAATTATTACCCAGGATGATTATGAGGATAGTTAATTGGTAAGTCTGTGTACAGTCGTCATCTACACATTTTCCAACATTTTCCATTCTAGTCTAGGCGCTGAGGGGTTTGTATGCACATTGGAAGGTCGCACAACAAACGAACCCTCTGAATCCGAATCTTCAACTCTCACCTCGCTCAGATGGTCGAGTAATTTGTTAAAAACAAATTGATTGTTTATAACTTCTAAACAATTGAATTTTTACCAAAACAATTTTTTTTCATTTTATTGTACACAAAAAGACAAAAATTTCCTTTTTTTATTCGTCTTCATCCGACCAATAGAATTGTAGATATTATTAGTGAAAAATTGTGTTATATGCATGATATATAGAAGCGTCAGTCTGAGCTATACGCATTGACCTGATATCTGAGCGAGGTGAGAGTTGAAAATTCGGATTCAGCGGGTCAACATACATAGAAATACACTTCGTTTCTTGTGGGATCTTCCAATGCATACGAAAACCCCTCAACGCCTAGACCAATCGTTACTTACATCGGTTGAAAATGCAGGTACTGGCTGTTACCTTCATTATGCTATGATTAATAGCTCATTATTAATCCTAAAAAAAAAATCATCCATCAATACCTTAATCGATCTAATCAGCCGTCCAAATTATGTACGTATTATAAAGGCTAATTATAAAGATTTAATTGTCAAAGGGGATTTTCTTAAAATCCATTATAATGAAACCAAATTGATAAGAAATAACAAAATTCTGAAATGAAATGTGCCGTGAAAAATGAAAAAAAATCACAACAGCGGTCGAGATAAATATATGATAATCTGCACGCGCAACAAAGATCTCGTGACTCGTGTAATAATCGGAGATTTGAAAACTTTAAAATGCAAATGATGATTGATTTAATGAATGATTGTATATGAGCCTATAGGCATACATGGCCATGGTAACGACATGTGGAAAAGTATTATCTGAAAATCCTATACATTTGTACGTTTCTATACATTTTTAAATGTGAACGTGCTAGTCTTCCTTAATAGCATCGATATATGATTATGAGAATTTTATATGCTATAACCAATTTTACTACGTTACATAGTGAAAATTACTTTCGTAATGTTATAAATTTTGTATACAAAAAACCAATATCATAGAGTACACCATAAAACTCATAGTTAAAAAGCTACAAATAATTATTTATCCAAAAAGTGCCCGAAAGGCGTTTTTCGGCACAGCACCTGCGTAAAAATTTTTACGTGGTTTTCAGATTTTCTAAACTTTGACGCAGCTTATGTTCTGTGCAAGTTTTCATAAGTTTGTCATTGAGACTCGATGAAACATACGAGAAAAATTTTTTCAATTTTTTGAAACGTTAGGCAGATATGACAAAAAGTTGAGAAAATTTCAAACAAATGTACTTTCTAGACTATCGGAAACACTAATTCAAATACCAATCCACGCACACATTTTTTCATCGATTGTAAGCCCTTTTTTCTGCGATTAAAGCACGCGCAAACATACATCGCGTACGCTCACATCGACATATACACGAATACGTTTGCACATTTTTAGCGAGGCTAGTTGACTTTGTTTTTTTTTCATGTACACGCATTATTTTGTTGATATTCGTGCACTGAAAAAGAAAGCCCTACGACAAGTGTTTGTTATCGCTCAGTCGCTATTTACACGTGCCTGGGCCTTTTTTGTTCTGCGTTGAGATCTCGGTAAAAATACTAAATAATACAAAATAATACAATAATTCGATAATGATATCTCAAAAAAATGTACTTTTGCATCTCAAATAAATCTATAAACCTAATTCAATCCTAATTAATTGAGTAGCTTCCGGTTTGTAAGCGCTTAAGTGTCCCACAGATGATTGATCTTAATTTAAAGAGATCATGACAATAGATTCAGTTTCCACAGCCTATGTATTGCAAGTCATTCAAAAACCATTAATTATAAAAATTGAATCGGATCTTAATATATTAAAAAATTGTGGTAATACGAACCCTGTGTTGAGATTAATTTTTTTGATAGATCATTAGTACACACAATAGTTTGTCATTATAGTACTATACATTTAAACAAAAATAATATTAAGTTTTGTCATATTAAGAAGATCTTTTTACCGATTAACACCTACTACCGTTTCAACACCTTCGAATTTTTTTAATTAATCATTATGATTGATGAAAAAAAAAGGGGTTGAATTTTTTTTTTAAATTTGAATGAAATAATTCTTTCCCGGACGTAATACAATGAGTATGACAATTATGTAATAAGTAGTATCACCTATGAAATTACACTCTAATAAATAATCAGTCCAATTTTTTTTTAGCCATACGACCCAATCCCCCACTATTTATCTTATAGAGAGATCATATTATTTGACGATTCATGTATTTTCAATGCTTGGAGGGGTCAAGCGTGTCGAACTCGCGCCCCCCACTCTGCAGCATCTCATATGTAGAATTTGTTTTTTGATTGCTTGGTCATCGGCCAGCTAGTACACGCCCACAATAGCTTACTGTACACTATAACTCTGGAGACAGACTACTCGGCGCCTGCAGCAGTAATTTTTTGATCTATATAAAAATTCCTCCTAGCAGCAGCATGCTATAGTTGACATAGTAGAGCAGCATCGTGCCAATTTAATTTTTATTCGACACTATGCTAGCTACTTCGGCGCTTCGTATAATAACAAAATTAGTATCATAATTACTCGGCTGAAGACTGCATTTAACGAAAAAAATTTTAAACTTTACACGCTTTAAATCGCAAAGAGTTCAATTCGCATTTCTAAAGAGCTGTGCGCGAGAAATGTTATAAAACTCGTTCAGATGAATTGTTAAACCTTTTTCTAAATATTGTTATCGCTGAATTTGAAAAAAAAAAACAAGTAGGGCAAGGAGTTATTAATTTAGATTACTTTTTTCAAAAAAGGATAGCGAATAATCGGAACAAATTTTTTACAAATGTGCGCCTGTTTAGAGATGCGAATCAATTATTTGAAGTTTGAAGCTTGTTGAGTTTTAAATTGTCTTCGTTGAATGCAATCTTCAGCCGAGTTATGATATAAATTTTTTTTATTACAGCGTCGAAATAGCATCATATTGAACGGTGCACCAAAGTATCATTGCGCCGAATAAAAATTAATCGTCGATGGTACTCTGCTCTGTCAACTAAAATCTTGCAACATTAGAGGCATCGAATATGATATTTCTTGATCGGTGAGCATAAGACAGCTCGGATATTCGTAATTCTCGGAACTACATGTCATGTATTACGTTAGAATGAAAAAGGTGTGAAATTCTTAAGCCATTGAGCAGCTAGCTACCGAATTTACATTTTTTTTTATTGTTTTACTACGGTCTCAATCTGTGTGTTTATGGGATTTCGACTCCTGTGTCCATAGTTAGCACGAAGAAAAAAATAAATCACTTCCGATCGATCTCGAATCGCCACTATTTTCCCGGAAGAGTCGTAAAAAATCACGACACAAAACAGACTGTCATGCATGCGTTATGTCGACAATACCAATAAGCGATTATGATATAGGTTACAATTACGATGACGATTATGAGTCTTTTCCTTCAATTTTTTTTTTTTTTTTTTTTTTTTTGACGGATACAATGAACGACATTGTACGAAGCGGTCGATACGCGCGCAACGAAATGTCCCGAAAAAAAAATTGATCGAGTTGACAGTGATTGCGGGAACTGGTGCGTGATTATTTTTTGAGGAAAAAAAAGGAGTGTGCGTGTGTCTGTTCAGCACGCATAAATTTCAAGCCGTTTCGACTTTCGTACGTATCGTTAGAGCTAGTTTACCATGAATCCGGTAGCCGGCGACAACTCATTGTAAGCTGCTGCTGCTGCTGCGACGCATTCCAGGGAGACTTGGGTTAAAAACGCGTAAGAGATCATCATCGACGGACACAACGCGGAGAAAAATAGAGAGAGAGAGAGAGAGTTTAGGGACACGTATATATAAATGTGTACACAACGAACGAGGAAGAAGGAAAGAAAAAAATGTAGCCTCGAAAAATAGGCAAAACGATTTCCGCATTTCCGCAAGCAATTTACATCTCTCTTGCCCAATCGAGCGCCTCGAAAAAGCGTCGCAGTGCCTGCGCAGCACAATGGAGAGCGGAGAAAGGGCACATCGATGACAATTGCGCTTTTCTCGTGTATATAATGAAACAGCGTCGGCCACTTGAGCCCTCTCTCGATATATATAATATATATATTTCGCAGCTATGCGCGCGTTATGTACGCACGTTTAATCTCTTAAGCAAAAAGAGTTACCTTACTGCCACACATCGCATTGTCGACGAAAGACCCGTCGGTGGGCACTTATGCGTTATATTGAAAGACGCGAGAGGCCCAATTCGTATATATATTCTTTGTTGGAATCCGTTGAAGAAGAAGCCCCGATGATCTACATATTTTTACAAATACATTCTACGGTAATCGTTGCCCATTACACGCGTTTGTACAAATGCACCCCGCGAGCTGCGATCGGAATCAACGACAACACGCGACAACGAAAAAAAAGAAGTAAGGTAAAAGGAATATATCAATGGAGCACGCGTTTACCTATACACATACAACCACAGCAGCTTTTGAAGCACACGGTATATAAAAGTAAAACTCTATTTTTTGTATTTACCTTGGCTTTGATTACCTGCTATAGATTCAAAACAATTCCGACACGCGCGTCTTAAGCCTGACTGCCTTAAAACCATGCGCGACTCTATTTATATATATGGCTACCGAGAAATTTATAATTCAATCGACCCGGCCGAGCACGCCTCGATTCGTCGAGATTGGGTGCTTAGTTTTTTTCCAAAATGCCTCGCTGTGATTTTGGAATTAAATACATACAATACTTACCATACGTCGGAAAACACCGAGAGTACTGTTAATTAGAGAAAAAACATCGGCTCATCCACAAGAGCGCGGTCACACATCGCGCAGTGATTTACAACTCCCGATCAGCCGTGTAGGATATAGGCGCGCACTTAACTTTCGAACGCAGCGTGTGGCGGTACGAACGCGGGAGGCGTTGCCGAAAAATGCGTCGCATTTATACGTAATACGGGCAGTGCCGCACGGAATAAATTGCGGATAAATCAGTGGAATCGATCATCAATGTTGGTAATTTTTTAATTGTTCGATGAGCGTTGAAAGTACAGAGGAGAGAAAAATGTGTGTGGGTAATTCAAGACGCTTCTCGTTGCGATGCCTATACATATCTCGTCGTCGTTTCTACTGCGGTGCGTTTAGCAGCAGCCCGCTCAAATCACGAAGTATTTCTGAAACAATAATTCACGCGCGCGTTCAGTTAATTCAATTATTAAAAAAGAAAAAGAAAATGTGGCTGATGCTTTTTCTCTCACCGCTGGATTGGTTTTCTGGAAACACTGGAAGACTTTGAACGCCGAGTCGCAAGGGTTCTTTCCCGCTGTATTTGAAAAAGAAAAAGAGCGATAACGAAAAATTTTGTTCACGTGCATGAATCGCTAAAATAACGCATATAATTGGCTCACTTGTTCCACGGCAGGCGGCTACCATCTCCATGCCGTGCTCCCTGAACGAATCGGTTCCTTTCAATCTGACGACCAACTTGTCGAAGTCAATGTGACCATCGTGGTCCAACTGTCAAAAAAAAAAAAAAACATAATTTTGAAAATTACACCTAGTCGCTAACGATTTTTCGGATAATCGATCGATTGTTTACCAGATCGAACGAGTTGAGAATGCAGGAGAAATAACATCCCAGCACCTCGCTCTCGTGAAAGTATCCCTCGACTGTTCTATCCACGTGTTCTGGGTGAGAAGAAAAAAAAACAATGAATATTTAAAGTGAAAAATGTTTGGTGTTAAAAAATTCGAGCTCGTACCGATATCGACTCCGGTCTCCCTGTGGCACTTTTCGCGTATTCCCGCGACCAAGTTCTTAATTTCCATCGGAACTTCCTAAAAATTTAAGAAAAATTGTCGTTAAAAAATGTTCGATGCTCGGAGATCGCGAACGATCCTTTTTTTTGAAACTACGATATATACGTTCGCGTGGACGTGAAGAATACACGAAACTAGCACCAAACCGACGATAAGATACATCTTGTGAAACAATGAAAAAACAAATGTAACTCCGTTTCTTTATATATCCGCGATTGTTCGCCTCGCGACGGCGAGTTTAATGAGTGAGTAGCAGAGAGCTCCGTGCGCAGGCCTCGAGAACGGATATGCGGCTCTATACGCCGTCGCACGGCACGATAATGGCAAACATTGACTTAGAAATTATACAAATCCACAAAGATTAAAATTGACGATTTCCACAATCGTTCGGATAAAGCGTATTATTTCGTATGCACGCGAAGAAATTTTAGGTTTCGAAAAAAATGAAAAAATGCGAATAAACAAACGATATTTTGTTAGTCATTTGAATCACCGTTGAAACAGCGGATTATTTGAGTGCAAAACATGACGGCTAAAAACTATTCGCTTACTTTACTCGTGACTCTTGAACGCTCAAATTTATAAAATCAACTGGATAGGTTTGCTCTTTATTTGAATATCATTTCGACCTACGTCGCAATAAAATCGGAGATTTTATAGTATTCCATAATGGTTCATCATTATTGTAAAATTTATCAATTCATTTAGATCATTTCAGTGCAATTTCCGGCTAAAGGCAAAGTGTCGTAGGTTCAAGTTCGGCCTGAGCCCATGTTTTTCTTTCGGTGTACAATAATCAAACTAATTATATTACGATTGAATATGAAAAATCATCGTTTAGATGCTCCGATTCAATTACGTATAATAAAATAATTTTTCGCGAAACAATCGCGGTTTTAAATAAAAAATGATCCTGCATCTAGGCCTCGCCTGTCAATTTAAAAGGGTACAGCGTCCACTACTGAAATGATTTTAATGAATGAATCGATATTTCGGGCGCGTAAAGGTAAAATTAAAATGTAAAATTTAGACTGAATAAATTGTTACAGATTAATTGTTACTGCTACGCATATTGCTATCACGCTCAATATTTTCAAAAAATGTAAACAATCCTATGATATAAATACGGGCCTTATACGATCAAATCGAAATGAAATACATCAAATACATCAAAAAATTGCTTTTCATAAATGAATGATTCCTCATTTACTACTATCATTATTTATGAAAAATATCGTAACACTCGATGAAATGTATACTTTTAGAAATTCAGAATTTGAGAGCTTTAATTATCTCGTTGAAAGATATTTGCACATGGATTACTCGCGTACTTAGTTCATCGACAAAATGCGCAAAAAGCAAAGAAACAAAAGATAACAAGGAAAAATCCGTCAAATCCCTCCCCATCTTACAAGATGGTTAGCCTCAATATACTACAAGTGCCGACGTAATTAACTATTATAGGCCGGAAGAAGTATACGCGCGTCAAGTGTATCCCATCCAATTCGTACCGCGATGGCGTGAAGATTATATATACGAGCGAGCCTCACTCGTAAAAGTTACACATTTCATCGAGTACGCCTTTCGGCGCGCGAGCACAAACTCTCACTTTCGAAAGCACACGACTCGCGCGCGCGTGTCTATATCCCTGCTTCGATTTTTTTTTTTTCGATCTCGGGTAATTCGTGCGTAATGCGCGCCAGTGCGGTAAATTATTGTTTCGTCGCGGCGGTCGCGATAAATTTCGCATCCGCCGATCCCGGCAGCGGCAGCGCGAGTCCGCTCGACGATCTGGAGAATCTCAACGTCTTCGAAACGTCGATCTGTTGCGCCCGCTGCGCCGATCTGATCGATTCGTCGAACGAGATCTGGCCCACAGCGGCCTGCGAGCTGCTGCCGTCCGTGCCGCTGGATCCCTGCCGAGTGAATTTCGACGAGATGAACCTCACGAGCCCGGCCGAGCAGGACTACAGGATCTTTTCTTTGGGCGGCTTGCGAAACGGCCAGGGTCACCTGCTGCTGCAGACGCCGCTCACGGGGCCCACCAAACTCGACGTCATCTACGAGGACGCGAGCCAGCTGAAGCAGATGCACTCGTTCGATTTCAAGGCGTGTCGATTGGAGACGGAGCCCGAATACGCGTACGAACACGTACGCAAGTGGCTTGCCGCCAATCGAGCTGCGGACATTGGTGACCCGTCTAAAAATTATAAGATACTTCTGGGTGCTTACGAGGTCTGCGATAGGCCTAGATGCGAGTTGACGATTGTCAAACGCGTGATTGAACACTTTGACGAGTGACAATGAATATTTTTGATCGCTCGTACATGAAATGATTTGATTGTATTTGAAACTAGCAGCAAATTTAAATGAAGGTAAGAAATGAAGTGTAGAACATGAAGTGAAAATAAAAAATAAATTTCTACAGAAAATGTGTGATGAATATTATCTTAAGTACTTCTTATTCAAATTTATTTATTATGATTGTTATGAAGTGAAAATCAAATCTAAGGTGTCAAGGTTAACTAATCCCATGAGATGTGATATTAATAAATATCATAATTACGTCATTTTTATGTCATACATTACTCACTTATGCGTTAATCCTTTCACATTATTAATGTTATCATTTCTCCACTTCAATGACTCTGAAAATTTCTATTATGATCGATCGCTAAGCATGCTAATTCACACGCGAGATGAATTCTTATCTCTTGCTACCTCCAATGTAAAATTGTGAATGAAACGAACGAACAGGTATTAACCGCGACTACCTGACATTCGTTTTAAAATGAATTCAAATAAACACGAATTCTAGTCGAACTGTTTTCGTCAACATACGTGATATACAAAGGTGTCATAATACCTTTGAAACCATGTAAAAATGAACGATAAAAAGAATGATTAATTATTGAAGCCCATCTATCGAAGATACGTCATAATTCACACTCATAAAGAACATAGTCGTCCACTCCTCGACGTTGCCCGAATTCGAATCAACACCGTGTCTCGACACAACAGCTCGACTGCCACCTTCCGTACATTTTATCTTCAGAAATGTGTATACACAAGATACCAAGGCAAAAGCGCAGTAAGAAAGAAGATCGGATTTTCGAACGCGGCAAATAATATATAACTATTATTATTAGGTATTACACGCGCGGATTCGGACGCGCGCGTCCAGTCGCAAAATCGCGCGTCTTTCGCCGAAAACCGTGTTGCCCTTTTACGCATACAGCAGCAGTTATTACCAAAAAAGGGTGACTATACCACCATTATATGGAAAAATCTCGCGATATATATCGGTCAGCGTGTCAGATGGCTTCATCGTCAAAAGTACGAGTGTACGAGGGCGAGTCTGGTCTCTCACGCGGCGCGGCGCACCGAGAGCACGACGACGTCCTTTTCATCGTGGTATTATTATTGTGCGGAAAGCGCAGATGCGCCACGATAATTGCCGAAACGCCGCGTTATAACCCTTTTGCTCGGGGCACGCGTCGCAGCGTGTGTCCTCGCCCCCGCGTCGATACAATGCTGCTATACGCACTCTTTCCTTCTCTCTCTCGGCTTGGCTCAAAGCTTCGATAGAAGAGACACTCGCGTGTGCTCCGTTGACCTAAATATGTAATGTATGTTAAGAGGGTGTGCGCACACTGTTATATGCAAGATTTTCCATTATAATACGTAAGTGTACGCGCAGCGTTCGGATTTTTAGATATATATATATGGATTCGTCGATCAATTCGGTCCAGCCCCCCTCAAGTAACGAATGGTCAAAACCGAAGTGTCGTTGATTGCGATCGACAAGCCGTGAGAGAGAAACAAATAACTCGCTTTATAAATGGAGCAACGAAAAACTGCGCTATAGGCGGTGTGTGGACTTTGATTTTTCTTCGAACTGTATATATTATACACAGTTGGGGACACCCGCGGAGCTCTGTGCTGTGCTGCGGCCTCATGGATGCGCTCATATACATATGACATCGTCGCTAGCCTGTGCATCCGCCTCCTACATCCGAGATTTTTACGACTTTTCTAACAAACGAAAGCGAATAGATGTATGTACTTAAGGAGACAGCACAGAATCTCAGCCTCTCGGGCATTCACCAGGCTTTTAACCCGATTGAAAAGATAGAGTGTAATTAGATGTGACTTTTAAAAGCTTTTTTTTCGTCCGCCTATACACATATTTTTGTTAATACGTACGAATTGACGCAACCGCGCCTGTAACGCGCGTAGATTTCTCTCTCGAGTGTGTGATTTATAGAGATTTCCCGAGAAAAACCTCGTAAAACAGCGGGAGCGGCTTGCGTGAATCGTGATTTTTCGACGACGATAACCCAGCAGCGCGACGGGCGCGGGGGGCATTAATTTGCATTGAAATCAAAAGCGGAGATTAGAGTTTTACTGCTTTTTTCGGTAAATCTAACAAATTTATTTATCAACAATTTCACTTTACAAAATTACAATAAAGGCGTGCGTGTGTGTGGGGCGAGAGGCGAGATTTACAATTATATTCGATTGGGTCGCTTCTCTCCTCAGGCGGTGGTGCGCTTGGCTACGTGCGGCAGATCGTACTTGCCTCGCACGCACTTGATCTTGACTCCGGGTACGTCCTTGCATCTGCCCACCCGGCACAGCACGATATTGTGCTCTTGCAAATTGTGTCCGATGCCTGTTGTATAAAAAATAAATATATATAGATGAAATTCGTATACGAAATCAAAGGATAAATCTTCCGCTTCGATCTATACCGACCTGGCACGTAGGCGGTCATCTCTCGGCCGGTCGACAGTCGCACGATGACGCACTTGCGATTCGCCGAGTTGGGCTTCTTGGGCTTCTTGGTCAAGCACTTGATCACGACGCCCTTGGCGAAGGGCTGGCCGTTGAACGGATTCGTGCACTTGCGCTTCTTCATCAGCGGCCCGAGCCGGTGCATCCTGATCAGGCGGGACATGTCGTTGGCGAGACGAGCCGGTTGCAGACCTGTAGCGGTAGAGCGGAAAATTCTCATTAACGTTCGTTATCGGAGAAAAATTTGGCGATACGATGTAATCGCTCGCGTCGAGCGTGAGAATAACATCGACGCGCTTCGCTTACAAGGTGTAATAACGACGATTAGCGAATTGCGCGCGTCGCGATCGATCGACGACTTTTAAAGACTCGAATGTGGCGTATAGTATTCTTTTGCTATTCTAAGACTACAATACACAGAGAGAGCAGCCTCGGCGACGCACTTTTTTCCCATAGATCGGGCGTCTATGCATATATTGTAATGCATCGCGAAGCCGAGAAAAAACCTTAACTCGCGTCAATGAGCGATCATCGATTATGCGTGTTATAATAAACTCGAGTTTTCGTGCGTTGTAATACCTTCGATTGCCGCGACTATGGCGCGACACGAACGCCAAACAACACCTTGATGAATCACCTATAATATGTAACGCGAATTCTTGAGAAAAAAAAACCGAGTTTCAAGTGATCGCGCTCAGCCCCTTGTACATATCGTACGAAGGCACACAAGCCGCCTATATTCGTCTCCTTCGATCTTCCGATTAAAATTTTAACTTTTATGAAAAGCTGACTCAACTTTTTTCATCTCTTTCTCTTTCTTTTTCTTTCTTTCTTTGCTTATTTCCAATGTATTTGTTGAAAAAACCCTTTGAAGCGTAAGAATTTTTCACACCTAATACATAATAATATTGCCTGGATATTTCACTCGACACTACTTCGAATTACCTTGTGTGCGAGAAACGCCCCGTCCTCCAATATGTTACGTGTACGTAAGAATAAGGATTTTTTTCCTTCTTCTTCGTCTTAAAAGAGCTCGACACGCTCGCGCGAAAGGATTATGCAAGGCTCGCGTCGTTCTTCGATTGTTATTGCTCTCTCATTGACGACATTTTATTCTGCTTCGTCGCCCGAAATTCTTTCCTCTTCCGAGATATATATAAAATATTTGTTATCGCGAGCTAACCGATTTTCACTCTTGCCCCCCCCAACGAAATCTCCCATCATTAATTTGCATCAAATGCGCACCGAGAGAACTGCATTTATTATTGCGGCTCGCACACGTGCGTGGGTGTGAGTCCGGTTCCACTGTGTGTGACAGCTGTTTGCGTCGTCGTGCGCGCGATCGTAATGAAAAAGGCGAAGAATAATAATATTGCGCCGACTGACCGCCGGTCAAATGGACACATTTCCATTTGGATACACAACGCAAGCCGTCTTTCACGAAATGGTCATCTCACTCTCTCGTCGCTCACAAATTCGGACTGACATTATATTTCGTTTCGCCGTCCAGCCGTACGTACACAATACAATGTAATACCTCGACCCTTTCTTACTCTCTTTCTTTCTTTCTCTTCTCTTCTTTTTTTTTTGATCGAAGGGCTATTGCCTATTTTCATTCAATCATTGGCGCAGCAGTTGTCTTTTTCCGTCCTAATCCATTAGTCCCCGATGCGTTAAATGTCCACGACGACGACGACGGCGTTTTTCTCACTTACGGCCCTTTTCAACGGATTCACACCCTTTTTGCCTTATGCGCGCGAAAAAGTACAGATGAGTATCGCTAACACCGAGAAATACGAGACCTCCCAAAAGTTTTTTTCGGAAACTTCGTGCATACTTTTACCCGGCTCTTCATCGGATTTTAGCATATACCCTTTTGTCCGAGCGGATCGAGCGATGTAACACAGACGTACACACACGCTCGCAAAACTCATTGGTCGATATACATTCTTAAAAATGGGTCAGTAGCCGTATGTATACTGTAAAGCTTTAAGAAAGCACACATGTGTTACGAGACCTCTTTCTTTTTTTCTAAAATCGAGAATAGTTCCGGGAATTTCCCGACGATTTTTAATGGATATAAAATTCGCCATTGTTCACGGCAGCACATGTGTCACGCGATATTACATTACTTTTATAACGACGCTTCGATATTTTGTTTCAAATAAAAAAAGATGCAACATTTGACGGGCCGTTACGAAAACGAGTTGTCTGCTTCGTGTACGAACGTCGACGATACTATATTTCGGGCCTGTTAGCGCGACAATTACACGGAATTACGATGATACTCTAATCTCAGCTGACGATATGAGCACCGGAAGCAGTTGCATCGACGTGCTAATGATCTTATACCATTAGCACGGAAGCCGGAATCGAATGACGCGTGTATACACGTATCAAAAGCAAGTGCAAGTTTAGTTTATCTGATGTCAACTCTAACGAGGAGTCCTATCATATTTTTATTGCTAGTCGATGAACTTTCCCTTTTGGTATTTTAATAGATAATGTTGACAAGATATGCTCGATGTTAGTATCATTAGGGGTCTCATGACCACTTTAACATATTATTTTTGTGAATATGTAATAAACAGTAATACAAACACCGATGCTTAGTGACTTTACTGTTTGATACAATGTTAGTCAATGACAAAAATATTATCGTTAATCTTTTATCTGAGCAAGTTCCCATAGGTATACAACTTTTATCTTAAACTAAGCTCCTTAGTCGATCATTACTACGGTAGAATGGAATTTGTACTAGTAAAGACATCTTGTAATATCTCTGATGCTAATAGCGAGTCGTAATTCTTATAATATGTATCTACTTCTGTTATATTCACCTTGTATAGGATTCTGCAAACATTTTTTGGCAGCTGACAGTATGCTACCTGTAAATATTAATTTAAATATGAGTATCAACAGTCGAAGACCAAAAAATACAATGTGCAAAAGTATTGTTACCTGCGAAACCATCAACATAGCTAGGGGCAACTGGTGCAAGCCGCTGAGCTGTAAAACAAAGTCATCATAAACATTACTCTTTGACATAGACACACAGTGCAACATTAAAAAGTATCACATAATCATGTAATCATATAATGCAGAGCTTGAATGAAAGCAAGTTTTTGAGGTTAAGCAGTGGTAAACAAAACCCATTTCACTTCTTTGATGTGTGCTAACCTTCGATGCTCCTCGTCAAGCAAGATCTCGTGAAGCTCGCGATGCTTTTCGCCAGCACGTTCATCTTTCAACAATTGTCACTCACATGCAAATGTCACGTACACTGTTTATTCACGATTTAACAAAGTTCACTCGGCATTATAAGCGGCACTAATATGTTCGCTTTGACAAAGAAACTGGTGTGGCGGCGAATTCGTCTGCTATAGGCGAAAATATTACCCTCGCTCGAAATCTGCTTTACCATGCATAGAATAGCGACGTATTTATCACTTGTGGGACGCTTACCTTACGCTGAGTTGTACACCATAAAGTTTTGAACAAAAAATAGTTTTAAAATAAATAATAATATTTTATGACGTCAAATGCTTATATTTTTAACATATGAAATATACTTCAATATGGATGACGGATTGAATTAATTTACTATTTTGACGCCCATTTTTTCATAAAAATTATAAGGATTTTCCTTTAATATATAGTTTTATACATAGAATTATATTTTGATTATTAAGCAATGAAAATAGAAAGTGTCATGTTAATCTTTTTAAAAAACTAACAATTATTTTTTCAATCGGTTTTTACATAAAAAACGTAAAGACCTGCCGTCAGAGGAGACTTTTATTTATTCAATTTATTATATTTATTTAGTATTAAACATCAAGTATGGTATTTAAAATTTTGAGGAAAAAAACTTTCAATATTTAAAAATGATTTTTTCAATTCCAGAAAATTTACTGTACATTTTGTTTTTGTTTCATTTGTTCTCACTATAATTAAAATTTTTCAAAACGTATCCATTAATTACGACAAAATAATTTTATATCTTCTTCTTTTGCTTCCAGACGAAAAGGAAAAGGAACCCGAGGCTCGCATGGAAGAATAAAACCAAATCCTTCGGCTTTCGTTTGAGAGGAGTAGAAAAAAAATTTATTTTTCCAATAAAACAAATAGATTACAGAGTATTTTCCAATGTTACATCGAATGAACAGAAAAAAATGAAGTAAAGTCAATCGTATCGTCCACAGAGTCGCATCAAAATTAAGGAACTAAGATCCGTCAGATCAGACGTGAATTTTCATAAATGCAGTCGTTAACGCACACATAGTATAATAGTACAGAGAAAAAGAGATATCGTATGGAAATAGATACATCGAACGAGTGCGAAATTGCGCAAAAGTTAAAGTTACATTATAATTATTGCATTAATGTGTGTCAAACGACGTTGTAACGTTACACACACACGCACGCATTGCGTCGTGGTCTCTATTTACCAGACACCGTGTCCGCCGAGATAATTGTTGTAACCGAGATGATGACCGCCGGCCAGGCCGTGATTGTAGCCCAGGTAACCCAATCCGTTGCCGACGTAGCCGTTGTAGCCCGCGTGATGGTGTGCCCCGGCCAGGCGCAGGGCCCCAGCGTGATGCCCGTAGAGGGCCTGATGATTGTAGCCGTAATTCAGGGGCAGGTGTCCGTTGTAGCCGGCGTAGGAGTGTGCCGCGTGACCGGCCAACGGCAGACCGGAGTAGTACGGCGAGCCCAGATGACCCAAGCCTGTGTACATATACAATTTATATTTATTTATTCGTAATAATTTTTGCGCAATTTTGTGCGATATCGATATCTCGATGTATAATGCAACGAGCGATCGACACCCAATATATCTTCGTTATTGTGCAATGGATAAAACCGCGCGCGACTCGCAAGTTTTTCTCCTTATACATATACCTACTTTTACTATTATAAGCGATCGCGGTGGGTGATGCGGGTGGTGGAGCGCGCGGCTTTTCGCTCGTTTATCTCTCTCTCGACGTCAGCGGGGCTGGAGCTCCCATTGTTTTTTTTTACGCGATAAAAATGAAAAAAAAATAAGGAAAAAAGAAGGTAGTAATAATCATCGTGGGAATGGCGAGAGAAAAACGAGCAGCGCCCTTTTTTACGCGCGCGAGCCGCGGTAATATCTCATTCTCTCTCGCGGCTTTGATATTTCGAGTGTGCGGATCTACTTAATGGATTATTGTTTCGCCGAGCGAGAAAGATGGAATATAGATATTATTATTAATGGTAGCTACTAACAATTTGTCGATGAAAATCGTCGGACGGGGGCTTTATTATAAAGAAATACATCATTCAACGGCGGCGGTGGTGGTGGGCCCGGCGCTGAATTAATGAGTTATTTAAAATGAGATTTTGCATTGTATCGCGTCGTAATGCGCCGCGGATAAAATCGATCGCCTCGCGTGTGTAATTGCAATTTAACAGGCGATTGGCTTTGATGGATCGATTGTCTATAAATTAGCCGATTCTTCGATGTTCATTTTTGGTGCTTTACAGTATACACAATGTGTAAATAAATATTTTTGTACTTAAAAAGAAAAAATTGTAATTTTTTATACACAACTATTTTTGTTCGAATAAAAATGTAAAAAACAACAGAATATTTTGTATTCGCTATACACGATAAAAAAACTCACCGAGACCCGCGTGTCCAGCGTAACCAACGGCTCCTGGATAATATCCACCGTAGCCGAGACCTAAGAGTCCTCGCTTGTCCTGCTTCTTCGCCTCGACGGCCGTAGCGGCAGCGGCACCGCCGGCGGCTGCGACGTCCTCGTCGCCGGCGTAAATTGGCGAAGCCACAGCGGCGACGACAGCAATTAAGATCTATTTTATACCGTGCAGAGGCGCAGAGAGGTACGGGAACAAAATTTTGTATTTATTATTATACCGATGGGGAAGTTTCAGAGCTGCCACTTTCTCTTATCTATACGTATCGTGAGGGTAGAAAGGGCGTATAACTGGCAAGAAGCGATCTCGTGTTTGAAGGGAGCCGCGCGCGTATATTCCAAGACGCTGATCATCGGTCAAAGGGTCGTCGTGGAAGCAAGCAAGTTTCGAGGAATCGAATTATCGTCGTCGCCCGACGTCGACGAGCCCGCCGTTTGAAATTCGTCACTTTGATAGAAATCGGTAAATTCATTTTCGAATGACCATTAGTCGTCGCCTTATATCAAAAGTTGGGAACGAGCGGGCCAGCCTCTACAGATATTATATACAATATAAAATTCAATCTACGGTACTCACGATAGCCTTCATGTCGAGGGGTTGGAAATTATAAGAGAAGCGCAAAAACTGAGATGCAAAGATCTAAACTCGTGGCTGGAGCCTCGAACTGTGGAAACTGATGAAGCCGTACGTGGACCCGATCGGCTTTATATAGGCGCAGAGGAGGCCCCGCGCGCGAGTCGTTGTGTATATGGACAGCTGGGGGGCCCCCGCCTTGGTGTGCATATAATACAGCGGAATCCCACAGCAATCAACCTGTGGTGCAGCAGCAATAGACACACACACACACATATATACACTCAAATGTATATGGTTACGGGGTCGATCGATCGATCGATCTATCTATCGCTCCTCCCTGTGTCCTTCTGTATATGTGTGTAATAACAGCATACAGGTATAGGTAGGTAGAATAGGCGATAACGTCGCCGAGACAAGGAGCATATAAAAATAAAAGATCCTTTCTAATGTCCACGAGAGAAATATTTTACACACACACACACACACACACAACGAGCATATTTCCTCTGTTATACGCGACGAGCCTTTTGGGGATTCGATCGGGTATTATATGTAAGTGTGTGCACACGTGTGTCTTTATGTGTGCAGTTACGATTATCCTCGTACTATAGCATCGGACAGGCATGTGTGTGTGTGTGTGTGTATACACGACAAACTAATTGATCGGCTTATACACGAGCGAGAGCTTGACGTCTCTCTCTCGTCGGACGGATTGATCGACACTCGGCAAGCCTTTATGGCGGCGATACATATATGCATGTTTTATGTAATGTGTGTTTGTGTGTGTGTGTGTGCTTGTGTGTGTGTGTGTGTGTGTGTGTGTGTGTGTGTGTGTGTGTGTGTGTGTGTGTGTGTGTGTGTGTGTGCTTGTGTGCGATCGACGTGTGGCGCGCGATAGGTATCAATTTTTGGTCAATTTCGTTATTTTTCTTTTTTTTTTACCTTATCGCCTGTTCATAAAGATCGGTGATTGAAAGAAAAAACGATAATTTGGAGTAACGAAAGATTGACCCTTAAGAATTATAAAAAATCAATTAATAATCAATAATTTTTAAACAGTAAGTGCCTGGTATTAGAAAATTTAAAACATCAAACTCATCATTCGCGAATTCTAATTTTGACCATTGTTTTTTATAAGTTACAGGCGCATAACTAAACCAACTCGATATATCATTAAAACATTGGCAATTGCATATAGATCAAGCAGAAAAAAGTAATAATGGAATTTTTAAAATGTTTAGAGCATTGTTCGATCAAGGATTAAGAGCAAGGATATAAGATGCACTTAAAAGTGACTCTTTCAACTACGAAGGACATATAAAAATTGAATCTACAGATATGAACATTTTCACCTGCGTGAATAAAATTTTTATTTTAATTTCGGTGTAGTTTTAATGATGCGCGAGTGTCCATATGCCATCGTATATCGCAGTACACGACTGTAGAGGGGGAAAGTGTCGCCAAGAAGCTACGAAAATCGCGGATTCGACTCGCTATCATACGAGCAGTGCGTTCGGTCGCTATAGCCAAAAGTTAAATTCCTGCAGTAAGCGAGTGTTTACAAATTCGTGCTAATTCGAGGTAAATACAGTGTTAGCCGCTCGAGAAATATAACCTCGAACACTTTTCTCAGTGAAAAAATGCATAGTGAATTATACGTTTGATAATTGAGCGAGCGATGGAGAGCCAAGAGGACGAAGTTGGGTATGACTATTTTTGCTCGTGTCGCGATATTTTTTAAAGCGATCATTCCTTAATCATGTTTGACTTTGCTTCAGAGTGAAGGAAGAGTTGACTGATACGTGGCCGGATCCAGGTGACGATTATATTTTATATTCGATGGACACTTGCGAGGCTGAAAACCATGAAACATTCCCGCTTTATGAACCATCGGTGAGTCAAATGATTTGAATTATGTTTTCTAATTTTTTCACTATCCAAAACTCATGATTAATTTGAATTTTAGAATATAGGGGAGGTTCAAGAAAGGTTAGACGATATAATATTCATTGATTGCGGTGGCGAAGATGTCAAATCCGAACCACCGTCTTCGTCGACCACCGTCCACGAAATCGATTATGAGAATTATCCACCTATCGAGGAAGTAGACGACCAAATTCAGACAAATTACTGGAATCGAAAAGAGCTGATAGTTTTGATAAAGAAAAATTTCGACTATCACAATAACTGTTATTTTCAAGTAATACCCCGATACGAATACGACGAATACGAGGACGTAAGAAAATTTAGAAAGAAATCTCGTACCAAGTCGTCTTATGAGGGTAAAAGGCGTCGAAAAGCTATTAAAAAAGAAGAAGAGCCATACTATGCACATATCGATAGGAAACACGAGATCATTAGATCGTACGAGAGCATTCGATTGTACAAATCATTTGGACGGAAAAAAAAGATCAGATGTCGTCCGAGTGCAGCGTATGATCGAAGGAAACCCTTAAAGTGTCAAATTTGTCAGAAATCGTTCGCATATCAGGATAAACTCAAACGACATATATACAAGGTACACAATCCGAGCAACATAGTCGAATGTGAGATTTGTCCAAGTTCGTTCAGCTGCAAAGATTACCTCAACGAACACATCAACGCCGTGCACGACAGTGATAACTTTTACAAATGCGAGATTTGTTACCAATCGTTTGAATATCAGTTTTTACTCGATTTACATGTCGATGCTGTGCATAATGGTAACAAATTCAAGACTCATCTCGACCAAGGCACGAGCTCGGTTTATTATGAAAAGCAATCGATTGAAGATAATATTGATCAAAAAGCATACGTTGATGATTACATCGAAGCTCACGAAAATTCAGTTCGCGATCACGAGAAACCCTTCCAATGTGGCACTTGTCACAAATCATTTGGACGAAGAGACAAACTCAATCAGCACATCGATTCCGTACATAATCCAGTCAAACCCTTCGAGTGTCAGATTTGCCAGAAATCGTTCAAATACAAGCAATCCTTGGAAAATCACGTGAACTCGGTGCACGATCCTAGAAAACCCTTCGAGTGCGAGGTTTGTCGCAAGACGTTCGAAACCCAGAATAAGCTCAAAATTCACACGAGTCAAGTACACAACCGGAACAAAATCTTCGAATGCGACGTATGCCACAAAACGTACGCACAAAGATGTCACCTCGAGATTCACGTGAATGCGGTACACGATCGGAGCATCGTCTACGACTGCCAGTATTGTTACAAATCATTCGGATACCAGCAAACCTTGAAAAATCACGTAATGACGATACACAAGGGTATAAAACCTTTCGAGTGCGACGTTTGTCACAAATCGTTCGGATACCAGCAGACCTTGAAAAATCACACGAGAGCGGTACACGATCGCGTGAAAACCTTCGAATGTGGTATTTGTCGCGCGTCGTTTGGATACGAGAGGGAACTCAAAAAACACATGACGACAGTACATGATCGTAGTAACCCGTACGAATGCGAGATTAGTTTCGAGACATTTTGATGTAATTAAGATTTCTGCTCTCGCTTAAGAATGTTTTGTATTACATGAAACTTTCGAATATCTTTGAATTTTGTTAAGAACAATAAAGTATTTAAAATTGTTACTCGATTTTGACGTCACTGTGAAAAAACCTTTTCTTTATACATTACGCAAATATCAGTTTTATCTTTAGTTTTCATATATTAGTTTCACCAAGTACTCCCAATTGGTACGTCAGTAGAAAATGCTTGTCCCAAATCCGTTGTTTTCAAAAATTTGGATGGATAAAATTTTAATTGTATTATGATAGAAAAAAATCCAAAAATAAATAATATTAAAATGAATACAGCTTTGTGTTCAATGAACAAAGATTGGTAAATTTTAGCACTTTTTATTTCTTTTAAATAATTTCTCAAAATTTTGGTTTTATATTAGTTAAAAACGCTATAGAATTTGTACATAACACAAATTAAAATCAACATCATCAAAATGAAAATTTTTTAAAATTCTTTGGACAAAGTGTATGCACTTTTTATTTTTCACAAAAATTAGTTCAGTTCATACTTCGAGTCAAATTTCAAGTAGATACAATAGTGTCGGAATAGTAACGTCGAACCCTAATTACGTATATAACCCGAGAAAATCTAAGTAAATTGCAGCCGCTCGCGCACACACGTCGACCAGAGATAGGCTTGCATAATATAATATAATCGCAATTTATTCCAAAAACGATAATTAACAGCCATACGATATTCGATCGGAATATTATTAATACATATTATAACGCGCATATATAGGCTATTATATGCGTGTCAGACATCGATCTCGCGAGCGAGGCCTGTTGTGTGAGTATGTGCACAATTACGTTGTGCAAGTGCACTTCGCTTCAGAAAAGATTGATAATTGATACACGACTCTCGCGCGCGGCACGCGTAAATTATCCCTAAAATTCATCGCACTCTGCACTGTGCGCGCACAGCAGCAACAGCGGCTATTACAAGCGCCGTAACACTCGCAGAAACGGCGAAGCGATTCGAGAGTAATAAATACACTCGGGCGCCGTTAACGCGTCTTATCTCTCTCTCGACGGAGCTCTCAATTGTAGTGTATACACGAATCGAATTGCCGCTGCTGCAGTTGGATCGCTCGGCTAAAGTGTTATTCCCCTCTCGATTCCTCGCCCGAAAGTCAGCTCGTCGTCGTCGTTGTACTTACTCGAAATAGAAAACTACAAAAAAAGAAAAAAAGAAAATAAGGATACGAGTCCGGTGAAGATATTTACAACGTCTCTTTGAGAACAGCAGTGCAGCGTTTACAAAGATTAAACGATCGTTATGCCGTTGCCGATTTTCTTCCCTTATTTATTATCATTATTTGTTTTTTTTTTGTCATTCTTATCCGCGGGTGTGTTTATACCAATAAAACTAAATTTGACTTGCGTAAGCTGACAATCGAGAGAAGTAACGAGAAAAAGGGACAATAGATTAATCGCTGCGCCGAAACAACACCGAAACAAAAAAAAGGAGCCGAGAATTCGCCAACGATCCGCGCGCAAAATTACTCGATCGATCGATCGGCCTTGCATTTATACACGTGCGGAGCGCCGAGAAAAGGCCATTATACTCCACTTGCGGGCGCCATATACACCATAGCGTCGTGAATTCGATTTTAAAGATCGATCGGTCCCATTATATACGAGGCGGTTACATTATAATAACAGATTAACAATTGCACGTGTAGATAGATACATACGCGGGGTATTACGCGCGAATATAATTTTGTGTCTCGGGCTCTCGTGTATGTATGTACTGTACGATGATAAATACGTTTTTAACAGGCGGCTATTACGTTGCACTTAATATACCACATGCGAGATCTATCGGGACGATCGATCCTAGACGATACGAGAATTTTTCGATTACGTCTTTTTTGTGTGTACACACACGATGGAATTGTTAGCGCCGAAAATAATATATAATCGTTTATAAATTGCGATTTTATAACCGACGCGGGCGATATAATATACGATATGTCGCAATGTAAGTTTTCGCGAGGCAATGGGCCAGTGCTGCATGACGTGAATTGTTTACTCTAAAATGCAATGCCAAAAAGTTCGACGCCCGAGAGCTCCCGATATGCATAATTCAACGCGGACTCTTAAATAATATATCGTATTAATTCAATTAGCGCGCGCTGCAGTCCGGGCGGGTCGAGAAGCGTGTGAACTTGCAGAAGAAAAAAAACCACCTCTCAACCGTCGGTCAACCGTATTAAATTTACACGTCTAACCGAGGTTACGTGAAAAAAAAAATAAAAGAAAAGAGAGAGAGAGAGAAAAAAAAAAGAGTCGACAAATAAATCAATTGCCATCGCGGTGAGAGTGGGATTGTGTACTACAGTGCACAGATAGGATAGATACATGTCAACGCGCGCCGAAGGATAATTGAGTTACGATTCTCGACAACACACACACACATGACACACACAAGGGCCAATAAATTTTTAGCTCCGCAGCGCGGACAAATCAATCGGCGGTTGCGCAACGAAATACATTTTAACCAAGTTTCCGTCGTCGACCGATGATTATTCCTTTGTTCGATATACCTTTATAAGTCGATCGACCAACTTTATACGTTTCGTGTCAAGTTCTCGCGCGCGAAGATTCCGCGAGCTCGACTATGTATCGTTGATTCGTCGCGGGTTATATAATAAAATGCAGCAAACGTAATGCATAATTTCGCGTCCACGCGATGACACATCGCAGCAACGGATAATTTCTATTTTTCACACGATAATCTCGCGAGCTCGATATATATGTAAGCACTGAAACGCGCGAAAAGAGTAGCGTTTACATTTAATCGTACGTTGTATATGCTTGTGTACGAGAGTAGAAAATTAGTCAATTCGCGAATCGACATCGCGGAGACACATGTCGCATTCCTTTCTCCGGTCGATGAAAATTTAAAAACACCAAGTTCCATCGTCGTCACTCTCTCTGCAAAGGGAGCAAGATAACCTTTATACGCCTGAAGTTCGAGTGAGTGTGTAAATACGGATGTTACAACATGTGTATATCGAGCTCGGCGCCGGAGCCGTAGCTTGGAAGCTTACCCACGTACTGCAGCGAGAGTAGGATAAGTTTTTCGCACGCCCTAGAATATTTACTTACTCCGAGCTGTGATGGTGATATTTTCAATTCTGTATTATATGTTATACGTTGCTCAATGCGTGGCTGTAACGTCGCGTAATCGGTGCCATTGTATATACCGTAATACACAGAACGTCACGCATTTAATGCGCATGATGATGGTTATAGTCGTCGTCGAGAGAATCATCCCTTATGTAGATTCGATGCGTCTCGATCAGAAATTCAATCAACGCTCGAAACTTAACAACTCGATTCAGTGCCGAAAATTCATAAGGTTATTATAATACGCGAGAGACGATGTGGTTGTCTTCGTCGCGGAGTTAGGCACATCAACGACACCTTGTGATATAGCGCGTATCAAAGTCGTAACTAATTGGCATGTGTTCCACGGATTATAACGAACGCACACACACACATGTGTGTGCGGTTGAGAGACACACAAGCTGCCAAGGCTCACGTTGCATCGAAGGGCCATTTCTAATACCGAAAGTGTCGTAATTCAAATTTGCAACTCGACTGATTGTTCTGCAACGATACATTAAGAAATCAAACAAATAATCGAGGCCTATTGTTTTTTCCATATCGTTTAATTTATTTCAATTTTTCGTTTCCATTCGAGCCGGATGCAGTACGTTATACGGGTAGTATACTATATACATGGGAAATTTATTTATAAAACCGTTCACGCCCGATTCCTCGCTTTTTGAGATTAATTGCCTTATAAACGATTCATATCGCGTGGAATACATTATCGACTCGTTTTCGTTATATTTCGAAACGAAAAGTGTTTTTTTTCCATTCGGCGGTCGATCGGATAATAAGTTATTAATAATAACGGACGGCTCTCGAGCACGAATCGCGATATAAATCAAATTATTATATATTCGGTGTTCGATCGGTCGGTACAGCACAACGGCAGCGAGGCAGTTCGAACTAGCAGCTAGAATTTGAACGTTTCGAGGCAAGATGGCGTTACTTGTTCAAGATAGCGGGCCGTAGTAGTAAATATTATTGCCGGTTGCCGCTTTCGCACATGTGCGAAATTTTTCTGCATCTCAATTCTCAAGCAAGTTGTAACTTGTAATTCAGCAACGATTGCACGACTATACAGAGTATTGATTGTTTAACGTTAATCGATGTTCGGTGCGACTGCGAGATTTTTGTCTCTCGTCAACGAAATTCGCAGCTATCTCGTGTGTCTCGATTGAACTGTGATAAAATTCGAATCGCAAAGTGTCGCCGTTTCAAACTGCGGTATTTTCGCCGTCATTAGAGTGATATTTGTCGATAAGTAAAGAATGTCTCCGTCGTAGTGATAGAAGATCGATCAAACGGTAATTTTTTAGAATATGCTCAATGATTTTTGTCATGACGGTTGTTGAATAAGCATTGAACCACTTATTACAGATCATTCGATCGATATTTTTGCACGGCGATTCAACCAGGGTTATGTTTGGGTTCAAGTCATTGTTAACCGAAACGGCGGCGGGCCGTTCGAAACTTTCGAATCTCGTTCGTTGGAAGAGCGGCAAAAGCATAACGCTCGGTGGCGAAAAAATACGGCGCAAACATGCCGAGGAAAAGTCTCTGTTTGGTAAAATCTTGGAGACGAAGAAGCAAAAAGCGAAGAGACTCAAATTAGAAAAAGAGGGGAAGGTAAAGCCGACGAAAAAAGCGGCGGAATACGACTCCGAGTTCGCGTGGGTACTGAGCTCTTCGAAAAATCTCAGGAGGCTGACTTTCGAAGATGAACAAAGTAACGATGGTAAAAACTGTGATAATTTACAAGCGATCGATAAGGGTGATTTGATAGATGTTTCTTCGATTAAGAAGAGTCTGAAGAAAAAGCTGAACGACGTTCATCAAGTTAGTGATTCAGTTCAAGACGAGCCTCAAATTGATGATACGGTTCAAGATGGTCTCTACGATATTCATCCAGCGGAGAGAGATTTATCAAAAAATGCAGAAAAGACTGATGATGCTCAAACTCAAACTCGGATTATAAAGACTGATAATACTCAAAAAAACTGTTTGCTGCCAAAAGAAATTGTAAATAGAATTCTTCAGTTTCCCATATTAGATAGAAGTAAAAACTTAGATAACCAATGGAAACTTGGGACTGAACCTTTGAAAATTTCTGCTTTTGATGACAAAGCCTCTTTAAAATATCCCAGTGTTACTAGGATTTTGAGCGCATCAATGTCAGAAGAAGCTAAAGCTGTATTAGAGCGATGGAAATCAAACATGATTGAAAAGTTAGGCCTGGAGAAATTTGAAATATATCAAAAAGGTAAATATTTTTTATCAATTCATAAATTCTATTCAAGATTGATAATGTATAATTGTAAAAATTTATAAATTATTATTTTTTTTCTAGAATTATTGGCCGATGGAAAATTGTTACACTTAGCTATTATGAATAAATTAACCCAAGTACCTTACAGTGTGCCAGATAAAATAATTCCTTCATTTTCTAGTCTAGAACAAGTACTGAAAGATATCAGTGAGGTACGAGCAATCGAATCTCATGTCATTCACCCAAGGCTTATGTACAGAGGCATTATAGACTGTATTGCATTTTACAGGTATTGTACTAAAATATTGAAAGTTTGTTCCAATCACTAAAATAATACGTTTAAATTCTTTCAGGGGTGAGTTATGTGTAATTGACTGGAAAAAGTCAGACAAACCCAAAGATACTATTGGTGCTACTTATGATGCACCACTACAAATTGCCTCTTACATTGGAGCGCTGAATGCAGATATTAATTACCCTTTTCAAGTGTGTACCATAATTAATATTACTCAAACAATAAGTCAAATATAAAATATTTTGTTTTGCTTATAGATACAAAAAGGTATTATTGTAGTGGCGTATACGAGTGGAGCACCTGCAAAAGTATTTGAAATAGACGAAGACAATCTTCAACTTTATTGGAAACTCTGGCTACAAAGGTACCAGGGGTACCTCAGAGCATCCGAACAAACTTGACAAGGTGCAAATATTTAACATCTCTTGTTACATACTGGTTAAAAGCAACGTTTGTTTATCTGTGCAATTTTATCAAAGCGACGGCATGCCCGACGATTTATGTGCAGAGTGTTATATATGCCCAGGCTAACGAACTCTCGTCGATACTGTACAAGCCCGAGTTCCTTTTTTTTTTATTTCCTCCTGCTGCCGTGTTGCTGTACATAGGTAGTGCCGAGTTTCGCGAGCCGAGCGCGGCAGTTTTGTAACGGCGCGCACACGGCGTGTTGTGCACAAAACAGCCGACTAGTCGAATATTGGAAAATTTTTTTACGTACCTACCCTTCTCTCGCTCGCTCGCTTGCATATACATATTACCTTGGCTTGGGGAAATTGTGCGAGGAGTCACGGAATAAGAAAAAAGTATTATATGTACTTACTTCCTCGACCTTGTGCGTGAGTGCGATATCAAGTCTGTCGCCCCCTTTTGCTACTGCCACTGCCTGTGCTGTGCCGTACGGACCGGAGTCGTAAAACGAAACGATACGGACTTTCGCGCCTTGTTCGGGGGACTAACACGGGGCTGCGCAAAAAGAGAACGAAAAAAGGCAGAAAGAGACGAGAAAGAACTCGCCGACGCGATAAGCCCAATATACTCATTGGCGCGAGCCTGCCTCCTATAGTGTAACCGAAAACTTTTTCTTAAAGTCCACCTTAAATTGGACATCAAATGCGTGCGTGCGCGAGCGAGCGCGAAAAAAAAAGAATCCGTGCAGCACACATACGCTTTTTTCCACGCTGTCAGCCGAAAGTAGCGAAAAGAAATGAAAAGAACAAAAATCTGAATTCTCGTTTTTACATCTTAATACAGATATGCCTCCGCGCGCACGGCACACTCGTGTAGCACAAGGCTGGTGTGCGCGTGTAAAGTCTGTGTGCCTCCTAAACGCTTATCAGTACGGCTTTTCTTTTTTACTTTTCGCTTCGCAGCTGACGCGCGAGAATATAACCCGATCTGCACAGCAAAGCAAAGTAGCATATATAGAAAGAGAGAAAAAAGGAATAAGAAGCAGCAGCAGCAAAAAAGGGGTATTGCGCAAAAACCCCGTAAGCGGAAATATCTGACTGCTGAGGTACAGTATTTTTCGTACATACACACGCACGTGCATTCATTCGTACATCACCCGAACCACGCTGTACGCCGAAAGTCACGAGTGAGCGAGCAATAAAAAAAAAAAAAGAGAGAATGAGAGAGAGAGAGGAGCGAAACAGAGAAAGAGATGAAAAACCCCTTTGCTGCATCGTCGCAAAATAAAAGGAAGCTCCGGAAAATAATACTACCCGGTAGGTGTGCGTTGGCGGATTTCTGTACTCGCGAATTAAAAGCGAGACGCGCAGAGGTATAGCAGAAGTGCCATGCGTGCGCGCGAATGCACGCAGCACGATATTTACCTTTTTGAAATCGTAGTAGAACGCATGCCGAGAGAGAGGAACGCACGGAGCACGCGGATAGTGGTTATTGGATTTTTCGGATTTTGTAATAAAAAAAATGAAATAAAAAACAAAAAGATTCGAATAAACAGAAGTATAAATAAAAAGATTTTGAGTATTTTAAATTAAAAAAAAAATTGATTAACTGCGCTTGGTGCAATGCAATCTCGATATTTTAATAAATTCCACCCCGAATTTCATGTACCTTCGTTTATTATATATTATTATTATATTTATGAACGAAATGTGTTGGGGCTCGAGCTGCTCGCGTACCGAGCTTTGTAAAGAAAGTCCAGCGGTTCCCCTCCCTCCCACCCCTCGCTGCAGCAGCTCTCGAGCTGTACACTGGCTACATAATAAACGAATTAATAATGCAGCTTTTTCACTCTTTACTTGCGAGCCGAAAGCAGCAGTAGCAGCAGCAGCAGCAGAGCAAAATATCGTATTTCTCGCTCTCTCTCTCGCGGCACAAAGGAATTTAATTGCGAATCGAGTAAATACTTATTTTAAAATAGAGAGAGAGAGAGAATATACAAAATGTAAATCAACACAACAATGTGTAGTAGCAGCGGCTCGTTCTTCTCTGCGGCCAAGTATATGGCTTGTTCGGGAAATATTACACACCGCCGTATATATATATACGCGCGAGCATTATTTGTTTATACGCGTTTATATAGAACTGCAGCAGGCATCGAAGCTTTTTGTTTTCATTTTCATTAATTTTTTTTCCCCCCCGTTATACTTACCGGCTGCAAGTTCAATATTTGCCTATATACATAACGCACGGGTGTGTACATCTTCGATAAATAAATAATAATAAAATACAGTTTCACGCGCGCGAGCCCAAACGTTTCGGCTGTATCATAGATAGCGATATTTCGCTGCGCGTGCTGCACGTGATGCACCGTGTACACCCGCCAACCCTCGTTTAGCTGAGCGAAGCGAAGTCCTACTATTGTTAACTCAGGACGGTCTTGTAAACACGATACCTCAATAACCGTTCAACCGATTGGGTCCAAATTTTTATGGGGCCTTTCTAGCGACCCCAAGATGTGCTGTATAAATTTTGGAATCGATACGATCATTTTTCACCCCTCTATCAACCCTTAAACTATTTACGTGATTCTCGCGTTATATTCATCAGAATTTTTGTATCAATATGTATCTGGAGGATTAAATAAATAAATAAATAAATAAAAATATAAATAAAAAATAAAAAAAATAAAAAAAAATAAAAAAAAATAAAAAAAATATTTAATAAATAAATAATGCTCTAGATCGAGTTGGAAGCACTTAAATGATATAATGCAAAGAACAAAAAAGATTTATAATATGTTAAATATTTTTATCATCCCTTAACGTCCCCAAGTACGTCTTCAGAAATGTTTTCAGAATTTTTGTGCAGTATTACATCATGCTTATACCCCAATGATATTTATAGGGTAATTTGAATTATGTTATAAATGTTATATCCCTCCTCATATATGTATTTAT